AAAGAGCTCCAGAACGCTAGCTCCTCGAGAAGCAGGACCTTTGTCTGTTTTGTTCACTGTTTTGCTCCCAAGGCCTGGATCGTAGTGGGCTTTGGCACCTGTGTTTGAGCTATTTCTTGAACAGATGACAGCTCTCGGTGTTTCATTTAGACTCGCAGAATTCAGTACTGGGGTGCCATTCTCAGATTGCCCACACGAGGGCACTATTGTAACAGCTCCCTGAAGGCTCCAGGGAACTGGGCATTTTACTGGGTTTTCTTTCTCTTTCCAGCCTGTGATTTTCCTGCCCAACGCCTTCAGCACAGACTTCAACATCCCCAGCCCAGCGGCCTCTCCGCCCCCCGCCTATGACAATGTGGCATATATGCCCAAGGAGTCCTCGGAGTAGGAGATTGTGGAGTCCAGCCTTGCCCCTCTGGTCCCAGCCCACGCCCCACCTTCCTCTGGGGCGGCCTTCCCCAGTGTCCCCGCCCATCCCCATATTGTGGCACCTGAGTGGTGTGTCCCTGGGGACCTCTGTCGCGCACGCTCCCACAGTGGTTTCTTTCCTAGAAGATACCAGGTCGATGTCAGGGTGTGTCCTTCAGTCCCTGGGCCCTGTCGTCCTCCCAGGATGCCCCTTGCCCTGCTCTGCACTTTTCTCTGCCACCCGGGACTTCTCGGCCTCCCTGGAGAGCAGGCGCGCCATCTGCCCCGGCGCTTAGGCCTTTGGGAGGTCATTAAACTCAGAGAGCCCACAATGGAATGGAGTCGTACCCAGCATTGAAGAGGTGCAGGGAGCAGGGCCTGGCCCTGACCTCAGTCTCCTGGCCCCAAGGACAGTTCTGTCCTTTGTCATCTGCTGCCACATCTATAGGCTTCAGTTTTCCCACCTGTCAGCTAAAGCCTGAACCAGCTACGCCGTAAGGCCCTTCCAACTCCCCTGGGCCCTGTCTCTCTCTCTCTCTCACACACACACACACACACACACACACACATGCCCTTGGGAAACCCTCACTTCCCTTATCTGTAATGAAGACCCAGTATTGGCTCCAGCCCTGCCCCCTCTCAGAGTAGGGAGGCTGAGGGAGCTAAGCCACTCCGCTGCATCCCCAGTGCAATCCGTGATAGCAGGGGCACAGGGAACCTCCCTCAGGGCACTGGGAACCTCCTATGTCTTTCAGCACTCCTCTCCCCTGCCCCATGGCCTGAAGGGTCAGGAAGCCCCTGCGGATTACCACTGGAGTGGGGCTGGGCACAGGGGACGAGGAGGCACCTTCAGGCAGGGGGCACTCACAGACCTAGCTGATCCACACCACAGAGAGAAATAAACCTTGTGGCTTACATTTTGAGCTGGCCTCCTTGCGGTGACTTCCCTTTTCACCTCAGGGCTTCTAAAGGTTGTTCATGTCCATCAGGGGACCGGGGTGTCTGTCCCGTCACAGCACCCAGGTTGCGGGCAAAATTCACTTCCTTGCAACTCCAAGACTAAAGACCCAGCTTCTTCCTGGCTGTCCGCTGCCAGTTGCTTCCAGCCCTTAGAGATGGTCTCAGCCCCTTGTCGTGACATGGCCATTTATTCTTCAGAGCCAGCTGGGGGAGGGCTCCAGATGAGCCTGCTGGCAGGACGGAGTCTCGCCCCCCAGATTCTCCTGGTTCCTGCTTTCTCAGCTCGCCCCTGCGTCCTCCACCTGCATCGCCTCCCCCCCACTCCCGTCCCCAGCTGATCCAGCCCATCTCGTGATTAGATAACAACCACAAGACTTTCTGGAATGCAAAAGCCATGGTCCCACTCTGCCTGTGCTTCTCGAAGGCTCTCCTTTGCCCTCAGCTAAAGGAGGGCAAAGTCCAACACCTGTGCTCAAGCAAGTCTCAGGAAGCTCAGGAAGCCCTGCGGTGGCACGGCTCGCCTCCCAGCCTCGTCCTCCTCTCCCTCCTCTTACACCTGACTGGCAGCCACACCGAACCTCTGAGACACTCGGATCGCAATGCTGCACCCCACTCTTCTGCTTGTCTATAATGCCACCGAGACACCACTTCCTCCAGAAAACCTCGCCTGGCCTTGTCACCCCTCCTGGGTTAGGGGGCGTCTCCCGAGCTCTCACCACACCCGCGAATCCAGGCCGCACCACTCACTGTCTGTTGCCCTGATGGGCTTCCCCAGTGGGCTCTGCATCCATTCTCGATAGTCACTGTCACACGTGCCCACCCGCGTGCCCAAGCGCATCATCACACAGCTCTGAGGAGGATCCCCTTCCTCGCCTTGCCTAGCTCTAGAGGCTACCCCCACCCCTCGGCTTGTGGCCCCGACTTACAGCTCTAAAGCCTTCCACTGTCTTTCACGGGCTCTGCCCCTCTGCCTCCCCGCTGTATTCCGTTGGGCCCACCAGATCGTCTATCCGTCTCAAGATCTCTGACTTCCTTGTATCTGCAAAACCCTCTGTGCCACATGAGGTGACACAGTCAGTCCCGGGGATCGGGATGCGGACATCTTTGGGAGGTCGTTGCTGTGCCAAGCACAATTTCTGAGCTCCTGGGGCGGGGACCGCCTCCTGTCCACTCCGGCATCCCCAGCACCAGGCCTGTCATGGTGCTCACTAAACGTCTTGTCAACAAGTGGGCCCAGTGAGGAGCGAAGGCAGGGAGCGTGTGCGTCGTCCTGTCCGGCAGCGACCACAGGCTGGAAAGCATCCGCCCCACACGTGAGGAGCTAAAGCTGTGGGTGAGGAGCAGGTGCAAAACCGCCGGGACCGCGGGGGCTTCAGCATCGTGGGCACAGAGATCATGGGGGGGGGGGGCAGCAGCTGGGTCCCTTCAGAAGAAAGGGGCTTTCCAGAGCTACCAGATCCCAGCCTCCCCCCGACTCCTCAAGGTGAGGAAGGGACTGCATGGTCCAGCGAGCTGAGAGGGGTGAGTGACGTCTCATGGGCGTGACAGGTGAGTGTGTGTGACATTGGAGTGCCCGAGACAGCTGAGCATGCGCGGCCCCGGAGAGCACTCAGCAATTATCGTCATTCTGCACCACAACCAGCACAACTCAGGCACCGCTTTAAGTCTTGCACATGTTCTCTTTTTTTCTTTTTTCTTTTTTTTTTTTTGAAGAGGTTTTCGCTATAGGACGCATGTGCTTGCCAGAGAGACAGAAAGCGAGAAATCACCCCCCGGGGGGATAGTCACGCCGCAATCCCTTCTCCTCCATTCTCCTCTCCAGATCTTGGGCACACACACACACACGCCCGGCGTGAGTTTTAAGCCACTGGGTCCGGGACGCGAACTGCAGTTGACTACGTGGGAGTCCAGTGACATAGCCATTACGCTAACTGCTGATTCCCTTGCACATATTCTCTTAACCCTCCAGCAGCTCCATGGGTCAAATAATTTGCCCAAGAGCACAGAGCCGTGGTGTGATAGAACGGAGACTGGAACCAGGTCTCCCAGATCCAGGTCTGCTCTGAGGTGCTATGCTGCGCTCAGCAAGTTGGAGCCAGCGAGGTCTTCTGACGTGGCCACTGGGCTCAGGTTCATGCTTCCCTGCCCACCTCAGACACAGAGGAGAGGCCAGCCACAAAAGGTAGAGCCCAGAGTGGGAGCTGGGCTCATGGACGCCCACAGCATACCTCATCCTCCTGGAAGGCCTCCCTGACAACTCAGGGGCACAGAGGGCAGAGGGTGCAGGGGAAAACGCACACCACTCAACCAGATCTGCCTGATGCAGCTGGTGGGCAGTGCCTGGATCCAGACCTGAAAGAAAGCAAAGGCGGCAAGACATTTACGAGACCATTGGAGACTGCGAACACTGACTCCATCTAGGATATCTAGTACGCAGCAAACACCGAATGAGAACAGGTTTTCCTGACTCCTCGTGTTAAACTTTCCCTCTGCAGGAATAGTTTCTACATATGCGGCCAAGCTCTGGGGGGCTGCAGGGTTTTGCACTGAGCACAAATCTGCTTCAGTGGACACCACAAATTAAAACTAAAAAATTAGTTTACAGGGACCAGCAGATGGCATAATGGCTACGTTGCTGGGCTCCCATGTATTCAAGTCCTGGACATTGTAGCTTAAACACACACCAGGCACGTGTGTGTGCGTGCCCAAGGTCCCAAGAGAAGAATGAAGCAAAAGGGATTGCAGCCTGGTCATCCCCCCTGGGGTGGGGGGTGATTTCTCACTTTCTGTCTCTCTGTCTCTATCTGTCTTTCTGGCGAGCACACACGTGCCCTATAGCCTCTACAACAAAAACATCCCCAAATAATAATAATAATAATAATAATAATAATAATAATTAGCTTACATTCTTTCATCGTGATCACATGATCATCCTTCTTGAAGGAGTCTATCTTTTAGAGATAAGTACTAAAATGCTTACCGATAAAAAGGGTTGGGTGCCTAGTTTTGCTTACCAATGGGAGAAAATCAAAGAGCAGATGCGGGCTCGAGCTTGTGCATGGACCATGGAGGTCTGGCAGGTCACTCCCTCTCCTTTCGTGCAGGCTTGGCATTTTCCAAAATGAGACAGATTCTTCCCAGAGGCCCAACATGTCCAGTGCTGGGAAGGTCGCAACCTCCTTCGCTCCGTCAGCCCTGCGCCATACACAGCATTTTACCCGCCAAAGGAAATGTGCAACTATAGAAGAGAGACCGGGAGGAGGACACTAAGACTCGCACCGCCCGGGTTGGGGAGGGGCGGGCTTGGACAGCTCCCTGCAGCTCTGGCGTCAAGCAGGCGGTGGGCCGAGGAGGGAGAAGATCCAAAGTCTAATGTTGTAAAGATGTTCTGATTTTCCAGCAGTCTCCACGGCGCTGAGACGGCTCCAGAGGGCAGAGCGCAGCTGGAAGCTCAGAGCGGAGGTCCCAGGGCCAGGTGAGCCGACCCCACTCTGCCGAAACAGAGGGGAGCGCCGCGATGATCCCTTAGGGGGCGAGGGGGTGCTGAGAGCACACACCTGTCCCACCTGGAAACAAGGGGGCCGGCCTTTCATAGCCCATGCCGGTCGGGGTGGGGTCGGTCACTGGCTGCGGGGCTGGGGCCCTGAAACTCCCAGGTGTGGGCCAGCAGCAGCCAGCAGCGCCAGCAGCTGGAGGATGGGTACCACTCAGTAGAGAGACCCTGGGAAGCGGAGGCACCACTAGCTTCTACCCGCCGGAGGAATTCTCAGCCGAGAGCCCCATCCCGCTAGTGTCTGGCCAGCAGAGCTGGGAGGAGCCTCAGCACCTTCCGCTCCTGGAATCACACACAGAGACTGTTCTGGGACAGCAAAGACCCAGAGAACAAAACGGGCTTGGTGAGGGCTACCTGAACCAGGACTGGGACCAGGCCTCCTGACCCCCTCCCTGAGCCGAGGCCTCAGTTTCCCACGGGGCTGGCCCCAGCAGGTGAGTCTGTCTCTACACCGGCGGGCAAGCTGTCCTGAAGCAGTGAGAAGGTTGGTGGGGCACTTGGGGGCTGCGCGGTAGCCAGAACACGCTGGGACTGCCGTCCTCTGGGGCCCCTTCTGCGGGTCTCCCTGTTAACATGGAGACGCGGTGCCTCTCAGGTGCTGCCTTCCTCTGGTTGAGGTAGACACACACGCACACGTGCACACACGTGCACACACACATGTGTGCGCACACACATCACCCGTGCACACACACACATGTACACACACACACACAGAAGCTTCCCCTGTGCTCTAGGCCTGCACTGCATACTCTGATTGACGTATCTGTGCCTAGGTCGTCTGCCTGCCCCACCACAGACCTCCCAAGGTCAGGCTGTCCTCCTTCCTGCCTGGGTTCTTGCAGAATCCAGTTCAGAAGGCCATGAAGGGCGGGTCTGGACCGCGGACCACTGGCTCCCTGCACTGGGTGCTCTCCCTCCCCTCCTCACCCCAGGAGCCCAGAGCTCTCATATCCCTCCCACAGGCGCAGAAGAGAGATGGAGGCAATAAATTCCCCCTCCGGATGATAAGGATGGCACATAGCATGTCCTAACAGAGAAGCAGATGAGGACACAGTGGAGCCCAGGGGTGCAGCGGGCTGGCGACAGCCCTGGCTGACATTTCCTGCTGTGCCAGGCCCTGTGTCTGCAGCCGGGATCATGGGGGGCGGGGGGGATGAAAAATCAGAATCAGAAGTTTAGGGCCGGCTCCTTAGCATAGCGGTTAAGGGAGCCAGATCCCACATGGCCGACTGGCTCAAAGGCTGACCTGGCAGCCAGAAAAACATGCCAGCGTGCGTGTACACGGCACCCAAAATTCTGACAGGAGAGAGGCCTAGAGAAGGGATTGAGGCACACCGGACCCCATGGGGGTGTTTTCTCTGTGTAGCTCCTTCTCACTCTCTCTCTCTCTCTCTCTCTCTCTCTCTCTCTCTCCCTGTCTGTCTCTGGTGAGTTCATGCAACCTCTAGTAATTTTAAAAAAGAAATTTGGGGAACCAGCAGTTAGCGTAATGGCTGTGTTGCTGGACTCCCACGTAGTCTACTGCGGTTCACATCCCGGATCCGGTGGCTTAAAACTCATGCCGGGCACATGTGCGTGCGTGCCCAAGATCCCAAGAGGAGAATGGAGGGGAAGGGATTGCGGCGTGACCATCCCCCCTGGGGGGTGATTTCTCGCTTTCTGTCTCTCTGTCTCTCTCTGTCTGTCCAGCGAGCGCACGCACCCTATAGCGAAAACCTCTAAAACAAAAACAAAAAAAAAAGAAAGAAATTTGGAAGTTTAAGTCCACTTTACCCAAAAGCAGACCCCATAGAATACCTATTATAGAATCACTGGACAATGAGAAAAAAGGTTTTATTACCTATTAAATATGGGAAATGCTTTTAATATTAAAACAGTGCTCCACTGCAGAAATTACATGTGAAAGAGGAAAATTATAATATGTACGGTTTCCCAAACTTATTTGACCATGGATCCCTATTCCTGTAGGTCCATCAGGACCAGTGTTCCATGGAACACACTTTGAGAAAGGTTACTCGGGGGACCAGCAGTTGGCATAATGGTTATGTTGCTGACTCCCATGTAGTCGACTGTGGTTCAAGTCCCGGACCTGGTGGCTTAAACTCACGCCGGGCACGTGTGCGTGCGTGCCCAAGATCCCGAGAGGAGAATGGAGGAGAAGGGATTGCGGCGTGGCCCTCTCCCCTGGGGGCGTAATTTCTCACTTTCTGTCTCTCTGTCTCTCTCTGTCTGTCTGGTGAGCACACGCGCCCTATAGCAAAAATCTCTCAAAAAAAAAAAAAGAAAAAGAAAAGAAAAGAAAAGAAGAGAAGAGAAAAGAAAAGAAAAGAGAGAAAGGTTACTCTGGCTTCTTGAGTGCAACCCCCTATTGGCTATTTGAACCACCACCATGGCCACAGCTCTCCCAAGGGAAAGCCTAGTGGGAGCACACCTCTGGTGCCTGGGCACGCATACCCCTCTGGACAGCCCACTGTGCCTCAGATACCTCTGCTAAGGATCTTTCCTTCTTCCATGCTTCCCAGTGGCATCCAGGCTCAGGGCCAGGAGCACTAACCTGTGCAGGCCTCTGCCACCAGCTACCTCCCTCAGTCCCCGCAGCTATGTTAGAGGGCCATGAAGAGTTGGGACTTGAGAGAGGGACCATTCCCAACCCCAGCTGTCTCAGGTCACAGAAAAGAAAGTCACACAGCCGTGTGTCTCTGAGCCCAACTTCTGAAGCCCAAGAAGTAGTGAAGTCCAGGCCCCCACCAAACCACCCTGCTAAATTGGGATTACCACTACCGGCCAGTGGAGAGTTCCGTCAGCAGCTTCCTCCCAGCAGCCCATGCCTAGAACACTGGCGAAGGAGGCAGCCCGCGTGTGGTCTCAATCTTGGCTCTTTCCCCCCATGTGACCTTGGTCAAGGCACTCAGCCTCTCTGAACCTTGGTTTTCTATTCAATGTGATGGCGCTGAATCCCTGGGTATTGAGGGAGGTTGTCATGCAAAACTGTCTCTTGACACAGTACCCAGCAGGTACTGCTTGCCCACTATGGGGCCTCATCTAGTTCTTTGGCCCTTGGAAAATGCCCCCTCCTTTCTTCCCTGTACAGCCTATTTGGCACCCTCCCATGGCTCTTCCCCCTCTGCAGACAGGAACCCCAGCTCCTCCTTCATGGCAACACAACTGGCAAATGTGGATGGCCAAACAGGCCACTTGAATCTACAAGTCAGACTTCAAGTGGGGAGGAGGGGACAGCAATGGTGCAGGCAACTGGGTCCACATGAGAAAAGTCCTGAGTTCATATCCTGGGGCCTCCCTGAGCCTTCCAGGAATTTGTGTGTTCATGCCCATAATCCAGCTTGCTGAGGCTGGGGGTAGGGCATAGCATGAAGGAGGTGCCTGTCTCTGTCTCTATCAACTATTTTTTTTAAAAAGAATGATCTATTTATTTATTTCCATTTGTTGTTGTTGTTATTATTATTATTAGTTTGATTAAAGAGAGAGAGAGAAAGGGAGAAAGCAAGCCACCAGGTCTGGGACTCAAACCACAGTCGGCCATGTGGGAATCCAGCACCTTTAACCACCATGCCACCTGCCATCCCCCATGAACTACTTTTCAAGTGAGAGAAATGCTGCCCCCTTCTGTCATTTCTCCAGGATCAAGAGTCTAACAGCAACCCACTCACTACCTTTATTTTACTTTTTTTTTAAAGCAAGTCAGAGAGAGAGAAAGCAAGAAATCTCCTCCCAAGGGACATGGCCACACCACAATCCCTTCTGCTCCATTCTCCTGTCAGGATTTGGGCATGCACGACACACACCCAGAGTGAGTTTCAAGTTACTCACTACCTTTACAGGATTTACTCGATTTCCTCGCCCCATGGAAAAAGCCTCTCCGACCTCCATCCCCACAGTCAGCTCCCCATTCCTCCCCTCCCAGCTCCCAGCTCTCCTGAGAAAGACTTGAGAGTCTGGCACCAGTCAGCAGGTACCCGCTGGAGCCCCGATGTACCCCATAGCAGCAGTAACCACCAGGATGACCAGACCGGGCCAGCAAGCAGAGCTTTGAGGCTCCTACAAAATTTGCCTTCAGCCCCTTTCTGTGCCCACTGAAAACCCGGAACACTTATTTTCATCTATTCAGCCAACAGTACATAAAGGATTTAGGTTTAGGTTCTGGAGCTAGACTGCCATGCTTCGAGTCCCCATCATTGACTGACAGCGTGACCTTGGGTACACAGTTTAATCTCTCTACATAGGTCAGCCCTATGTAGCATTTCTATTGTATTAGGTGTTATAAGTAATGAGATTTAAAGAACATGGTGGAGGGGCCAACAGATGGAGAGCAGTTACGTCACTGGACCCACACATGGCCAACTCTAGTTCAAGTCCCAGACCTGGTGGCTTCAAAATCATGCTGGGTGTATGTGCGTGCATGCCCAAAATCCTGGGAGGAGAATGGAGGAGAATGGATTGCAACATGGCCATGCCCCCTGGGCAGGGGGTGATTTCCACTTTCCCTCTCACTGTCTCTGTCAATCACTCTCTGGTGAGTACACACACCCTATAGCAAAAAAAAAAAAAAGGAAAGAAAAAGAAAAAAATATCTCTCCCCCCCCAAAAAAAGGACCGAGGAGAATTGCTCAGGTTATGTGCAGATACTATACGATTTTACACAGGAGACTTGAGCATCTGTAGATTCATATCCATGAAGGTCCTGGAACCAGTCCCCCACAGAGCCCAGGATGCAACTGTACTTATAAACGTTGATCTTGAAGTCATTGTTACATATGGGCTCCATGCTTGGTGCTGGCCCTAGTAAGTCCTTGGTGGAAGTTCCCTTCCCTTCTCCTCCCCATCCCTCAAACACAGGAGGCAAGGGCATCTCCACAGGTCGAAGGACCATCATTGATTCCCACCTGCTTTGATGGGCTAGCCCTGGGCCAGTGGATGGAGACTGTTTACAAACCTTCCGACCCCTGCCTAGGCCCCGTGCACCTCCGGACTCTTGCCAAACTGCAATCTGGCTGATTTGGGTGAGCTCTGTCTTGCACCAGCTGTGAAGTTCATCTGGCCCTCACTTTTCTGCCCCAAAAGGAGCTGTGCCCTCACCACCCCAGAGAGGCTGCAAACAGCAGTTTCTCCCCATCCCCAGGGACCAGATTAACTCAGATCTAATCAAGGTCAGGGGCTGCTGGGCAGGGAAACCACTGTCTGGCAGGCCTCGGCCCAGAGGGCAGAGGTCACAAAGTCTTGCCCAGGCACAAGCCTTGGAAACGAGATAGGTTCTGACTTGGCCTTCCTTCTTGGCCCACAGCCAGGGTCCTCAACTCAAGTCAATGGCAGCAGAAGCCAACAGAGCAGCCCCAGGGATTCCCAGCTCTGGGACTGGGGAGCTCCTACCTTACCAGACAAGTCTACCCCAGGGGGTGGCCCAGCCTGGACTTCTGGCTCCAAACTGGCACCAGGGGAATGTCCCGAAGAGGAGTGGCGTCCTCCAGGAGCTGGGTGTGAGTGTCTGTTTCCTGGGCCCTGATGATGAAGCAGGGGGAGTACAGGGAGAATGCTGTGACGCCCTGGGAGAGAGGGAGAGGAGGAAGCCTCCAGTTTCCCTGCTTAGCACTCATCTTAAAACTGAAAAGGCCTGGGGAACCAGCAGTTAGCGTAATGGCTATGTCGCTGGACTCCCACGTAGTCGACCGTGGTTCGTGTCCCGGACCCGGTGGCTTAAAACTCACGCCGGGCACGTGTGTGTGCGTGCCCGAGATCCCGAGAGGAGAATGGAGGAGAAGGGATTGTGGCGTGACCATCCCCCCTGAGGGGTGATTTCTCGCTTTCTGTCTCTATGTCTCTCTCTGTCTGTCTGGCGAGCGCACACGCCCTACAGTGAAAATCTCTCCAAAACAAACAAAAAAGAAACTGAAAAGGCCTGGAAGGACAGGTGGGGAGAATTGGCCTCCACCTACTGCCTTGTGAGGTTTGAGCAGAGCCCTGTGGTGGGGTGAAAGCAGGAAGGGGCTGCCGGCCGGTCAGGCCTATTGCAGGACCAGTGTTGTTGGGGCCTGGGCAGACCTGGCTCCCCCTGCAGACCAGAATCTCCACGAAGGTGGGAAGGGGACTCACTGTAGGGTAGGTCTGGGACACTGATGGCCTCAGTTAGGGCCAGTGCTCTGACGCCCTCACCTTAGCCATTCACTGTTCCCTGCCCAGGTCTTCCATGTCATCCTCGCTCTGCTGCACGTGGGTTTTGGCGGTTACCTGGCCTCAACCGTCAGGACCCTTCACCTGGTGGTGCTGAAGTCTTGGTATCCACTCTGGGGGGCCTTCTCTGTGAGTAGGAGCCAAAACACAGGCTGGGTATGGGGATCTACAGGCCAGACCTGGGAGGCCTGGTATTTGGGACCAAATACAAGGTGGGGTGTAGTGAGCTCATAGAAGAAAAGCATACGCCCCAGTCTTCCTCTGTCTGCTTCAAGCCTCTTGGTCACACCAGAGAGAGCTCCTTCCCAGGGCCCACTTGTTCCCTAGTCCTAGGAGAGCACCTCTGAGCTCCCTGGGCTCTCTCCAGAGCATACGCCTCTGGTCGGGAGGAGCATGCAGCTCCGTTCTTCCTTGGGTTTCTGAGAAGCTGGCCGCCTTTGGACTCAGCAACGTGTCCCTAAGGCTCCGCAGCACCGGTCTGCAGGAGCACATGGTATAAGCCCTCCAAGGCCTCCCAGGAAGGGGAGGTGAGACGAGGCCTGTGCACACGTCATGACCCAGAGGCTCTGTGTTCTTCCAGGTTTCCAGGGTGCTCACCCTAACCTTGGCCCTGGGAGGAGTCCTGCTTATTCATGAATTCCCAGGGCCTGGCATGCAATAGGTGCTCAACGAACATTCAAAAGAACAGTTGTAGAAATACGCCCAGAGACTTTAGAATCAAGAGCTAAAATCTTCCCAAGGAAGATTTTCCTACCTTCAGAAAAGGAGAGAGGGTCGGGGTACAGGGGCTTATGCAGCCGGTCCCAGAGGGGTGGTTTTGGGTTTGCAAATGAGGCTAGCAGGATGGACTGGGAGGGCTTTCCAAGTGCAAGGTGCAGCTTTGTCCCCGGTGTGGAGGATTGTGCCCACGTGGGAAAGTGTGAGGCCAGCCAGGGCTGGGATGGGCCGTTGCAGGTAGGGTGAGCTCACTTGGTTGGAAGAAAGATGTTCTCTGCCCCACTGGCCACCAGGAGCTGGTTTTCTTGGATAATGGAAAGAAAGAGAAATTGTTTTTTCAAGGAACCTCATCTTCACTCCTCTGATTCTCAAGTTTGGCCTGCAGTTTCTCATTTCAGGGGTCATGGCAATAACATTGGAGACCATTTCTGAAACATACTTGGTAAGCAGCTGCACGGGAGTCATGGCCTCCCATCGCAAGCCTGGGGCGATTTTGTTAAGGGCATCTGTGTGTAGTGGTGATGCTAGAGGCAGTGGTGGGTTTGCTAGGGGCAGGCGTGTGCCCTCCAGACAGCAGAGGGCTTCAGGGCAGAAGGGTCCAGGTGCAGACGGCTGCGGACTTCGCTACAGGAGGAAAGAAACCTATCTGGAGCCTCTGCCTTCCAGACACAGTAAGGCACAGGAGGGGGAAATAGCCCTCAAGTACTTGAATCTATCCCGTCTAGAGAAGATCTTTGCTTCCTTCCGAACCTACCATGTAGTGCACTCCCTCGCTGCAGGGCCACCCACTCAGAAGCCCAAAGACCCCCAAGTCAGAAGCCTGAGACCACAGGCTCTGCTCCCCTTCCTAAGTCCTGAGGTTGCTCCTAGACAGTCCTCAACTCCACATCTCTCTCTACAACCACGCCCCTGATCCACCCCAGTTCTGGCTCTGTCGTCTCTGGCCCGGAGGTGTCATCCAACCTGTTTTCCACACAGTAGCCTGACTGTTCTCGATACAAGCCCAGCCACATCACTCCCCTGCTGTTCACCTCTGCTGGTCCTCCCAGCACCCTCAGCCTACCTCCAATGACAGCAAGCCTGCAAGCCTGCAAGCCAGCAGCTCGGGCCCACCTACTTCTCATCTCTAAGTGCTGGACACATGGAGCTGTCATCCTCTCCTTTCTGCCTGTGCTGTCACCTACTGATCACCTTGCCCTCTCCTGCTGCACCCACCTCTCCCATCTTGGCCTCCCCCCTGATCATTCGCCTTGTCCTGCCCGGCATCTACTCCGACCCACCCCAGCTGGCACCTGTACCCCCATTGCTCTTTGAACTTTCCTGTCTCTACCACTCACGATGTGCTGTGTGCCAACAGGTAGCTGAGCATCTCTGGAGCCAGGGTGGCCCAGGCAGGCACAGAGTAGACACCAACGCGAGGCTGGATGGGTAGAGGTAGAGGGGTGAGAGCAGGGCCTTCCCTAGAAATCATATTTCATGACTTCAATCCATGGCCAGGCCCTCCCTCCCCTCCCTGTGCTCTGCCCCAGAAGCCCTGGCCTGGTCCTGCCATGTTTGTGGCCTGCAGGCTGCACGAGGGGTGTGGGTTCCCTACCTTCTCAGGAGTGCGTAGAGAATAGGAAAGTGTTCCTATGATTTACCTGCAAAGGCAGGAGGTGATTGTCCATTCTGCAGACTACACCCTCCCAGGCTGAGCCCCTTTGAGGACCGTAAACCTCCCCCTTCCTCTACCTGAGCACAGAGACCTTTGTGTTACAAAGACCAGCACTTGGTGTAATGGCTATGCCGCTGGACTCCCATGTAGTCGGTCACGGTTCGAGACCAGGACCCAGTGGCTTAAACTCATGCTGGGCACATGCATGTGTGCCCAAGATCCCGAGAGGAGAATGGAGGAGAAAGGATTGCAGTGTGGCCATCCCCCCTTGGGGGGGTAGCGATTTCTCACTTTCTGTTTCTCTGTCTTTCTGGTGAGTGCACAGACCCTATAGCAAAAACCTCTCCAAAAAAAATATATATATCCATCGTAGTATCAAAGGCTGTAGATCCTTACATAAAGTTCACAGCCTTTCCTCGTTACAGGGGTTTGGCTTTGGCAAGAGGCTTGTTGAACCCAGGAGGTGACGGCCTGCGGGTTCCATGTGGTCCTTAAATTTGAGGGCGGGGCAGGAGGGCAGGTACTGCAGGAGTGAGGATAGGGTGCCTTCAGGGCTCCTCCAGCCCTTCCTATGGGGAAGGGTCTTGGTAAGGGGCCATCAGGGTGTCAAGCCACTGACTAGTTGGCATATCGATACAGGGTGGCCAAGGCTGGATTTGGGGGAGGTGGTGGGGCATTGTCTTCCATCACAGCACTCTGAGGCAGCTCCCGGTTCCTCCTGGTTTGTCCTATAGACGCTGAGAGCTGGCTGGGTTCTCAGCGCCTCCTGTGTGGGTGAGGAATCTCAGGCCCCGAGACGGCAATCTTTCCTGAGGCCGCAGAGCACGCTCTTGGCAGGCCCAGAAGGGGACCTGACCCCTGCTCCCCGACCTTTGGGTAACAACTGCTGCCTTTATCTTGTGCTCCTAGAAGGTGCTGTGCCTCGTGACAAACCTTATCAGCTTTCTCTGCACGCTGGCCGGCATCTTCATCATTGCCAAGGATCTTTTTCTGGAGAGCCCATTCGAGTCCCCCATCTGGAGAATGTACCCCAACTCCACGGTGAGTGCTCAGGCCCCAAAGGAGCTTGGGGCTGGCCAAGAGGAAGTTTCCAGCTCTCGGAAAGTGTCTCTGGGAGGCCAGGTGCCAGCAGTTGAGCCCTCAGTTATCTGTTCCCATCCCTCCCCAGGCCTGATGGAAGAGGGGAGCACCTAGCCTTCTTGCTGACCAGCAGCAGGGAACTGAGTGGATCTTCAAGCCACTGAGACCAATCCTACTTCTATAGATGGGGAAACTGAGACGCAGAGAGGGGAAGGGTACTATCTGAGGCCAAGCACCAAGCTGACTGAAGACCAGGACCACCCAGGACCACAACTGGGATGGCTGATTCCCAGATGAGGCTCCAGATATGGTCCCAGTGACCCCCGTTTCCTGCGGCCTCCCAGCAGCCCTGCAGAACCAGCCGGGCCCATGTTGTTACCCCCTTTTCTGGTTCGTTTTGTCTCTATCATCAGAAAATGCCCGAACCTGGTGATGTATAAGAATAGAGGCATATTCAGCTCTCGGTTTGGGAGCCCAAGGTCCAGGAGCTGCACCTGGTGAGGATCTGATGCACCAGCATGTGGCAGCGGGCAGGGCCACGTGCATCTATGTCCATGTGTCTCTGTTCTCATCTCCTCATGGGGTGACTAAGCTCCTGGCGGATGTGTAAGGACAGGGAATGAGACCAGAACAGAGACACATGGATTTTCTTCCTAACCTCCTCCCAAAGGCCCCACCTGTCAACACCATAGTCAGATTGAGTTTCCACCCTCTTAATCCTGTCACAACCAAATCTCACCAAACAAATTTGGGGAGGACATTCAAACCAGAACACCGCCATTTTTCAGGAATGAATGCTGAAGTCCAGAAAGGTCACATTAGTGGACCAGGGCCAGCCAGCTAGGCAGGGACACAGTGATGACTCACAAGTCTGTGACTCTAAGCCCAGTGCTCATGTCACCACACCACAGCTGCCTCTGAAGCAGGAGGTAGGTCAGCCACTCCAAGGCTGGGTGCCTGTGGGTCAGGTTCCAAGAGTTCTGACCATGGTGGTTTGCTATTTCTCATCACCCCTCATGCACATGGACATGAAAATGCATGCACACACACACATGCACACACACACATGCACACATGCATGCTCCCCATGCTGCTCAAGGTCAGGAGCTGCCCCTGCTGTACAGTGGTCCTCAGTCCAGCTCTTCCTGCCCTCTGTAAGATGCACTCCTCTTTGGCCTTAGTGTCTTCATCTGTCAGTAAAATTGGGTCAGATGACTCCTAAGGCCACCTTCAGTTCTACCAGAGGGCCACGAGATTCTCTGGCCCTCAAACATTAGGCAAACATCTATGGAGGACCCATACATCTGGGCACTGGGTGTATAACAGTGACTGAAACACCCAGAGCCCTAGAAACCCACCTACACTCCGCATGCATGCCTGAAAGCTGCAGCCCCCACTGTCCTCTGCGGTGGGTCTGACTCCACCCTGCCAGGCTCACAGGATGGGCACAGGTGTCTAGCAGCCTTCCCTGTCTCCTCTCACCCTCACCCTCTCAGGTCCACATCCAGAGGCTGGAACTGGCCCTGTTGTGTTTCACCTTCCTGGAGTTCTTCCTGCCAGGGACCACGGCCATCATAGCCTACAGAGAGGACCGCCTGTCTGAAAAGGTGAGGCCCTTCCCGGGGCGTCAAGCCCTCAAGAGATGGCAGCAGTGCTCAGAAAGGAGAGGCAGCAGGCAGGGTTATGGGAGGAGTGGGCCGATCAGCCATTCACCACATTGCTCATCACCGGCTAAGGACCCTCCAGTCTAGGAGGGGACACAAGGCACGGGAGAGAGAAGCCAGTTCAAGGTGAAAAATGCCAGGCTACCAGAGAGAAAACCACAGGTGCTCAGAACAGCAGGCCGCCACCCTCCTGGTTCCGAAGGCCCCAGAATAATGGCCTCAGGGGACCTGTGGAGACTGGGTCTCTAGACCCATGGGATGGGCAGGTTTCCTACTCACAGCTAGGAATGGAGAAGGGGCACCCAGCGAAGGGACGGCGTGAGCAGTGACTTGCAGACAGGACTGCAGAGGCCTGAGAAACTACAGCACGTGGTGGTGTCTGGCTGTTGGGGAGCGGGTGAGAGGAGGGGGACATAAGGGATCGTGCACATGAGGCGGACCAAGTACTTCCTTAAGAGAATCTTTTCAACAGCCCTGTGAGGTAGGTACTTCCGTTCTACAGGTAAGTAAACGGAGGCTTAGCGAGCTCACATCACTTCCCAAGACCGAATAGCCGGGAAGGAAATCCAGGACCCAGCCGAGGTGTGTCTAACTCACAGCCAAGCTCTTGTCTCCTAACAGCGAGGGCAGAATGGCAGGTGGGGGCCAGGCTTACCTGCAAACAGAAGACTGCTTTCTCCCCAGGGACCCTGATCAGAAGTGATGTGCTCAGAGGAAAACGTTCATGTTGTAATCTCGACTTTAGAATACCGTAAACACATATGTTCCAAATCTCCCATAACCCTGCAGGTCTCACATTCACGATCTTCATGTTACTATTCACTGGACACTGAGTGTCCACATAAAGGCAAATCTAACTTGGTGGCCCCCAAGCTTTCTTTAACACCAAGCAAGTACATTATCATTAATGGTGCCTGGTCACCTGACAAGACGTGCCATTAACATGTACCAGTGTAGGGGACAGCAAGGGGTATAGTGGCTAAGGGTCCTACCACGGTTCGAGTCCCGGACCTAGTGGCTTGCTTTCTCACTTTCCTTCTCTCTCTCCCTCTCTCTCCTCCTCCCCACCTCTCTCTGGTCAAAATTAAAAATAAATAAATAAATTATTAAATAAAATAATTCTAAAAGAAAAAATAATAATAAAAAAATGAAGGTGTCCAAGTGCAAGACAGGGACCTCGAGTCACTGAGGCCAACCCCACTTTTCCAGGTGAAGAAATGGAGGCCCCATACCTGGCTACAGGTATTAACAATCACTGTTTCTGTTTATTGGTATTTTCTGTGTGCCATGCAGTAGGCTGGCGCTGCAGGTACTTGTTTCCTATTGCTATTGTAACAGATCCGCCCAAATTTCACAGCTTTTACTAACGCTGTCATCATACTGCTCAGCAGTTTGAAGTGGGTCTCAGCGGGCTCCGGGCTCCGTTGAGGTGTTTCAGCAGAGCTGCATTTCTTTCTGGCAATATTGGGGGAGGAGCTGTTCCCTTGCTATTTCTTTTGGGTCATCAGAAAAGCCATGACTCATATTTGCATAGAAAAATATGTCATGACTTCTCCAAAACCCAATAGCTCCAAAAGCTACCAGCATTCCCAGGCTTGTGGCCCCATCTTCCACCTTCAAAGCCAGCAAACAGCGTATTCAACTGCCTCTCTCCTGGACCCTCTTCCACCTTTAAGGACCCTTGGGATGACATTGGGCCTTCCAGATAGTCCAGGATAACCTCCCCATCTCAAGGCTGAGGCAACCTCTATTCTGCTCTGCCGTATAACCGGGCATTAAGACATGCGTGTCTTGGCAGGACCACGGTCCTGCCTACCACACTAGCTGAGACCTTGTTGAATCTCACAGGCATTTGGAGAGGTAGATTCTACTTTCCTCTTTTAAAGAGGAGGAAATGAGTCTCAAGAATTAAGCGGCTTCTCGGGGTCACATACCTGGTAAGTGACCATGCTGGGCTTCCCCTGAGGGCCTTCACACCCTCCTCCCTCCGAGAGGACAGTGTAAGGGACAGGCTCCACAGCATTGGACTGTGCCACCCTTGTCGCAGGTAAGGAAGAGGATACAGCAGTGGTCACTGGGAACGCTGTCAACGTTAGACATGCCCCTTGAGTGTGTTCAGCTAGAAGGATCCTTGGTGTATCACCCGGCCCAGCAGAGATCAGGGAACCCAACAAGGGAGTGACTTGCCCATGGTCAAATTAGGACACAGTACCAGGAGTAGAACTGGGGCCCAGTCCACTGACTCCCATGCGGGCCTCCCCTCCCTGACCTTCTCAGGAACAGGAGGATGGAGAAAGGTACTTGCTGGCCTTGCGAAGGTGCTTTATCGCTGAAGCCTCAGCTCGTGTCTTCATGGGGATCTTGAGACTTCAAAAGGGAAGCAGTGGGCGGTGCTTTGTAAACAGCCCCGGGCGCCGGAGTAGCCTGACCGCAGCTCCTCTTTTGCAGAAGGATGGCTTGTCCGTTATTCCCAACACACCACTGGAACTCAGAGGGCTGCCTGAGGGACTGCCACCATCCTATGAGAACGTGACTCAGAGCAATGCTCAAGACGAGCACCCAGAGGTAAAGAGGCTCAGCCTAGGCTGCACAGACCCTCAGAAGTCACCCATGGCCTCTGTCCTAGGACAGACAGGAGCCATTCCCAAGGAGGCGGTTAGCAGAAACAGGGGCTGGTGCTAGAACTGTCTGACCAGGAGCGGGTCGAGGCAGGGGTGTTCCCGCCCTCTTTGTCAGTAGAGGGGCCTCCAGGGCCTACCCCAGGAGCACCTCAGTACCTGTCTTGGTGGGCCTGGGCTTCCTCAGCTGAACCAGGGCATGACCAAGACCAGCCATGCTCCCCACCAGCCTCCAGAGCAGATCCCTGGGCCGTCGGCCCCCAGGCACCCCCTGCACGCCCCCTAGCTCCCTGTGCCGACTTTTCTCCAATCAATAGTAGACACGCAGGGAAGGGCAGCTGAGAGGAGCCAGAAAATGAGGTCCCCTCGGAGCCAGGAGAGGCATGGCCATCCCTTCTCTCAACCTATTGAGAGGCCTCTGGGGAAACTGTGTGTCTGAATCCCTCAGAGGGAGAGGGGTCAGCAGGTACACTGAGTCAGACAGAAACTGACCAGGTCTCCCTCCAAGTCACCAGTAGGCCTCTTTGCTCCCTGGGCCTCAGAGTCTCCACCTGTAAAATGAGTGGGTGGGTGGTCGAAGTGCTCCAGGAGCCTCCCAGCTTGAAGCTCCAAAGACAGAAGTCAAATCCAATATTCCAGTTGTCACCAGCGAAACAGCCTCTGCATCCCAAACCTAGGTGTGCCGAGTCTACAGAGTGAGAGACAGACTCGCCCTCCTCGTTACCCAAGTGCCACTTCACCCGAGGTCGGCCTTCGTGGGTTTTGCTTATTTGTGGACTGTATTACCTTCTTTCTGATTCCTTACATTGATTGTTTTCTTATATTACTTCTGAGGGATATTTTGTAGCAGCAATAAGCAGTAAACCAGTATCTTTACATGAAAAAAAGCTAACCCCAGGGCCAGCAGGTGTCGTAGTTAAGGCACTGGATCTCCCATGGCCAGCTTCACAGTTCAAGTCCCAAGACTTCCGGCATGCACACACATGCCCCTGGGACTTGAACCATGTGGTTGGCCATGTGGGATCCAGTGCCTTAACCTCTACACCACCTGCTGGCCCATGAAAATGCTTTAAAATGAACAGTAGTGATGCTTGTGTAACTGCATGTACTGAAAGTCATTGAGTTATTTAAAAAACAAAATCCATCTAAAGAATCTTCTTAAATAAATGGTGATACAAAAGACACACATATTTAAGAATCATGAAGGGAGAGCTTAAAGATTGAAGGCTGGGAAACATGGACAGTGGATCTCTTCACCCGCCCTGCTTGCAGAAAGGAAATAGATCTGCACTTCATGGTTGGGATTAAAAAATCACTGTAGGGGCCAGCAGGTGGCATGGTGGTTAAGATGCTGGATACCACATGGCCAATTGCACTGTTTGGGTCCCAGACCCAGCAGCGTGAAAAACATGCCAGCAACAAATGCATGTTTGCTCAAAATCCTGAGGGGAGAATGGAGGAGAATGGATTTTAGCATGGCCATCCCTCATGGGGATCACTTCTCACTTTCTCTCTGTGTGTCTCTTTCTAGCAAGCACTCATGGGTGATGGCAAAAAATCTAAAAAATACTGGTCCTGTTGGTTAAAGCAGCTGGTTCCTACGTAGCCAACTATGTGGTTTAAGTCCCAGACCTGGCGGTTTGATAAAAACATGCTGGATGCATGTGCATGCATGCCGAAGTTCCGAGAGGAGAAAGAGAGGAGAAGGGATTGCGGCATGTCCATGCCTCAGGCTTTCACACCTTCCCTGTCTCTGTCTTCTCTAGCAGACAGATGAGCCCTCTGTCAAAAAAAACTCTTTTTTTAGTTGATTGTGGTCCTGGAACTTGGAATTCTACTTCCTAATCTCATTGAACTTTAGTGTTGGAAGAATCTCTGTAGATCATCTCACCTAACTCCTCATGTCACAGATGGAGAAACTGAGGCCCAGTGGATGAGAGGGCTTCTGAAGGTTACCCAGCAGGCCCCTGAGGAAGATGAGGCTAGAACCCAGGTCTTCTGCCATCACCCTCTACCCCTGACATTCTCCCCCAGCCTTGTCCCACTTCCTTCCCTGAGGCCTGAGAGCAGAACCAGGCTGACTCCTGTATGCCTCTGGCCACCCCTTCCCCCTCAGTATCTGTTGTCTCCTCCAATCTATGAGATAGTCATGCAAACTCTAACCCTGACCCCATCCCAGGAGCATCAGAGAAAGCCTCAAAGCCATGCCCGTCTCCCTCCCGCCCTATTCAAGGGACCCCCTCCTCCCCACAGCAGGTCATGGAGACAGGACAGCTTGGCACTCATTTTTTCCTTCTTTCTTCCACAGGTACATACTGTGCCCTTCCACACTATGACAGCCCACTGTGAGCCAACCCCCACTGAGTCCCTGGCCACTGAGAGACTGGACTCTGATGAGGTGGAACAGGCACAAACTGAGTGACGACACAAATAAACATGTAACTTCTGTAAAGAGCTGAGAAGTGCCGGGAGAGATTGTGATGGGATCTGATCTGGAATACGGGGGAGGGGTGGGGGGTCAGGAGCAAATTGCCCACCAGGCGCCAAACACTCCTGTCAGTCAGGGTTCAAGCAAAGACAGACCAGTGGGAGAGCATATACTGGTTTATGCCGTCATGAGTCCTGGGCAGGTAAGTACAGACCCAGGAGAGCAGGCAATCGGAAAGGCAGGCTGGAACTGCCGTCCACTGGGGGAATTTCTCCTTCTTCAGAAAAACCTCAGTTTAATTCTTATTTTTTAAAGAATTATTTTATTTAACTTTATTTATTTACTTTTTTTTTTTTTTTTTAATTTGACCAGAAAGGGACAGAGTGAGAGAGTGAAAGAGTAAGAGTGAGAAAATGAGAAAGCAAGCCACCAGGTCCGGGATTCAAACCATGTTCGGTCATGTGAGGGTCCAGTCCCCTTAACCACCACACCACCTGCTGGCCCCCAGTTTTATCCTTTAAGCCTTTCAACTAAGTGCATCAGGCCCACCAAGAGGCTCTAAGAAAATCTCCCTTACTCATATACCCTTACTTAATTACAGATTCAATTACATCAACAAAATACCTTCATAGCAACACCTAGATTAATGCTTGGCTGAATATCTGGGTACTATAGTCTAGCCAACAGACATATCGAAAGACCATTACAGACACACAGAGGCAAGTGGAGTTGCAGGAGAGGAGTGGATAGACTAGCAGAGAATTATCTTTGGTAGGCGGAGGACCGGAATCCTCAAATATCCTGGTGCTAGCACCTTTTATCTCACTCTAGTAGCAGGTGTTGAGGGCTTACTCTATGCCAGGCACCATTCTAAGCACTTGTATAAGAAGTCCTGACAATCAAGTTTATGATGTAGGCAATGCGGGTACAGAGAGACTGGGTAATTTCGTGAAGACACAAAGTAAGCAAGTGGTAGCGGGTTGGCAGGTGGAAGGGTGGCTAAGGCAGCTAGATCCCACATAGCTGACTGCATGGTTCAAGTCCTAGAGCTCGGAGCTTGAAAAACACACCTGGTGGATATATACATGTACCCAAAATCCCGAGAGAAGAATGAAGAGGAAGGGGCTGCAGTGTGGCCCTCCCCCAGGAGCAGGATTTCTCTTTGGCGCCCTCTCCTCCACCCGTCAGGGAGCACACACACCCTATAGCAGTTTTTGTGTTGCTTTTTTAAGGGGAAGGTGAGCATATAAGACGATACAGCGTGTCCATAAACTAGAGAGGGCTTGCCCTCCTAGAGTCATTTGGTTTCCAAAAACTTTAAAGTAAATGAATACCCTGCTGGTCAGGGTACCCTCCCATGAATCAGGGAGGCACTTCCAAGGGCCACAGAATGTCCCTTTGGTGCTCATCTTACCACACTGCACCACACACTTCTCCATCACGGTGACAACTTTTATTGTCTGTTTGTGTAATGAAACACAACCGAGGGTTTATTCAGTTACACCCAACTGAATTCAGATGGTTTTTTTGTTTTGTTTTTTTTCTGCCACATCCTTTACACAGTCTTGGAAGAACAGCATGTCGACTGAAATCACAAAGACAGCAGCTGTCTCCAAATCTCTGGCATGGTTTAGTATGAGACAGAATCTCTAAAGAGTAGCAAACAATTGTTGTCAGCCTTCTGGAGTTTCCAAACTGATGTCTTACTTCTCCTTCACGATGTGTCCTGTCCAGCCTTCCTGACACCAGTCCCCTGGAGCAATCGGGGATCTTGTTGGTCTCTGCTCACTGGCTCATCTGGGTGTGTGCATCGGGACCTGGGGTGGGGTTTGAGCCTTCTCTCTTTCCAATGGAGCATGGGCCCCAGGGTGCATGGCTCTTAGGAATGTGTGCAGAAATGATGGAAGTTAAGAGAGCAGAGAAAGGTGAAGGGTTAGAGACCAGTGACTGAGGCTGTGAGAGAGGACATGCAGAAGGTGAAGTTGCTGAAACAACTTGTATCGATCAGTCCCAACAGGAACAGATAGCACATCCAACATTGGTAATAGGGGAATTTAATAAAAGTACTATTTACAAAAGTGAGGGCAGGGTTTAGACTAGTTGGCAAAGGGAACCAGCAGATGGTGTAATGATTACGTCACTGGATTCTCACATAGTTGATGACGGTTTGAGTCCCAGACCCAGCGGCTTAAAATTCACACCGGGTGTGTGTGCATGCATGCCCAAAACCCCAAGAGAAGAGATTGCAGTATGGCCATCCTCCCGGTGGGTAATTTTTCATTTTCTGTCTGTCTACCTGGTGAGTGCATGTACCCTATAGCAAAAATCTCTCTTAAAAAAAAAAGAGTAGTTGACAAAGAATGATGTGATACCCAGGCCACTAATGCCATGGATCTGTCACCACCCTGAGGCCTGAAGAAGCAAGCAGAGAGTAGTTATCAGACCCTAGGGCGAACTTTACAGAGAAGGCTCCCTGCAGAAGCTGTGGCTCTTGGAAGAGGATGCACTCAATCCCCCGCAACCTGGCAGGGGAGGGAGAGGATGAATACACCTTCTCCTCTTTCCTCCCCTGAGATCTCCTCCTAGCATCTTTCATTGGCTAAAGCCAATAGAAGGTCCACCAATAGGGAGCCTGTGGTTGCAGTTCATGTGCATCATCCTCCAGTCCTGGGCACAGAGCAGATGGAGAAGGTGGGAGAGTGATCCTGGAGGGGCATGCAGGGGACAGGCAGCACAGCCCTAACATGACTGCATGGTGCTCGGGTGTCCACACACTAGCTGCACAGATCACCTGCAGATTCTTCCCTTCGTCTCTGTGAAGACCAGCCTCATCTTTCCTGCCCCATCCAGTTATCTCCCATCATCAGCTACCTGCCAAGCACCAATGTCTCTCCAATGCCATCCCATGCTTTGATCCTCCAAACTCTGACTCAGAGTCTGAGACTGTCCAGTCAGCAGGGACTTCAGACCTCTGTCTACCTCCCTTTCGTGCACTGGAAGAAAGTGAGGCCAAGAGGAGTGACCAGCCTGAAGGCATGTGGTGACTCAGAGGAAGAAATGGAGCTGTCCATCAGCTGCAGGAAGGCTACCCCAATATCTGAACAGCCACATCAGCACATAAGAAGGCAGGGGAGACGAGGCAAGAATCCAGCACATGAGCAGAAGAGCATTTTAAAAGCAAAGTCTTGGGACTAGTAGATGGCATAGTGATTAAGGTGCTAGACTACCATGTGGTCAACCAAGGTTCAAGTCCCAGACCCAGCAGCTTGAAACACACCAGGCAGGTGTGCATGCATGCCTGAAATCCTGAGAGGAGATGGAGGAGAGGGGATTGCAGGATGGCCATCCCGCCCGGGGGGTGACTTCTTACTTTCCATCTCTCTGTCTCCAGCAAGTACATGTGCCCTAAAGCAAAAATTTTAAAAATAATAATAATAATGAATAAAAGCAAAATCTTATGTAGATAAAAGAGATAAAGATACTATTTTATTATGGTAAATGTAGTTTTCAAGTTCCATTTTAGAGTATTTGCCTCTATCTATAGACAGTGAATGGAGGCAGGTTTAATGAGCCCATAGGTTGGAACCAAGCAGTGTAACAGCTGCATCCACATTACTTCTGAGTTTGATTTGATTGTACAGTGCCGAGAAAAGCCTGAATCAAGCAGATGAGTAATTGCAAACGGTAATGGTTTGTACCAGCTTGCATGACGATCTCAGGGTGAGAAAGTGAAGTTGGCAGAGAAGTTTTAAGTCGAAATCACAGAAGTGGCACGAACAAGCAGCCAAGTAAACACATTACAGGACTCCAGCAGTCAATCTGGGACACAGGAGCTTTGAGTGTGCTTGATTTCAATTCTTTGCAACAATAATCAAGATCTACTTTAATAATGAAATTCTAATCAAATGTTACCAGAACTTCTGATCCATCTCTCCAGAACATCGGTATTCCTTTTTTATTTTTAAGAATTTAATTTCATTAATTATTACTATTTTTTTAATTTGCTATAGAGCACTTGCACTCACCAGAAAGAGAGAAAAAGAGAGAAAGCGAGGAAGCAAGCCGCCAGGTCCAAGACTCAAACTGCAGTTGACCATGTGAAAGTCCAGCACCCCAACCACCATACTACCTGTTGTCCCCCCCTTTTTTTGTTAGAGGGAGCTTGTCGGAGACAGAAAGAAGGAGAGGAAAGAAGCACCCCAAATGGGGCATAGTCACATTGCAATCCCCTCTCCATTTTCCATCCGTTGGGATTTGGGGAAAATTCATACACACACTGAGAGTGTTTTCTTCTCTTCTTTTCTTTTCTTTCTTTATTTTATTTTAGAGATTTTTGCTATAGAGCATATGCGCTCACCGGAGAGACAGAGAGAAATGGAGAGACAAGGGAACCAGCAGTTAGCGTAATGGCTATGTCGCTGGACTCCCACGTAGTCAACCGCGGTTCGTGTCCCGGACCCGGTGGCTTAAAACTCACGCCGGGCGCGTGTGCGTGCGTGCCCAAGATCCCGAGAGGAGAATGGAGGAGAAGGGATTGCGGCGTGACCATCCCCCCTGGGGGGTGATTTCTCGCTTTCTGTCTCTATGTCTCTCTCTGTCTGTCTGGCGAGCGCACGCGCCCTACAGTGAAAATCTAAAAAAAAAAAAAAAAAAGAAATGGAGAGACAAAAAGCAAGAAATTATCCCCCCAGGGGAGATGGCCACACTATAATCCCTTCTCCTCCATTCTCCTCTTGGGATTTTGAGCATGCACACACATGGCATGAGTTTGAAGCCTCCGGGTATGGAACTCAAACCAGTCAACTACATGTGAGTCCAGTGACATAATCTGTATGTCATCTGCCTGGTCCCATACTTGGAGGGTTTTAAAGCCACAGAAGCTGAGGTTTAACCACAGAGTTGACCACGTAGAATCCAACCACAGGCTGACCCAGTATTGCTTTGGAAAACAACAACGACAACAAACCAACCCAGAGTAGAGAGAAAAAAAGTCCCATCGTCTGCTCTACCATTAGTCTAGTGAATGACTTTGGGGCTAGAAGTAGGAGACAGGGTTGGAGGTCATGGTAGGAAGGGAGAACTTCTCTCTCGCTATAATTTTCTCATCTATAAAATGAAAATATGACATAAAATTTGTAGGATGCAGTTAATCCAGTGCTTCAGAGAAATACATAACCTTAGATAGCTGCATTTCAAAACATGCGTAGTCTCACATCAATGAAACAACTCTCCAGCTCCTCCCCTCTGATGCTAAGAACAGCTCCAGCAACGTACAAGCCTAACTCCTGTCAGCGGGACACAACATACCATCGTTCTAGTCCACCTCTCTCGTTTTACAGGTGGGGAAACTGAGACCTGGCGAAGGGAGCGATTGCCCTGACATCACATGGAATGCTGGTGGCAATGCAAGGACTTAACCTCAGACCTTTTCTTGTTTCTCCAACAAGCTCTTAGAGGTCAAGACTGGGAGTTCTCTCTGTTTCTCACACTTTGTGACCTTTCGTCAGCAAGCAAAGGCCCTGTAGGTCTCCTAAACACTCCATCCTGATCCATTTCTTCACATGGGACAGGTGATATTCAGGGGCAGCTTCTCCTGATAGTACTTCGCTGTGCTCTGAGATCTTCCTGGATCCTCCACCCCCATTTTTCAATCACCTTTCAGGGCTAAGGCTTCTCTAAAGCCAGGTCCTCAGCTGGTCAATCTCTTTCTTCTCAGGCTGAGTCTGGTCCATTTCTATTATTTGTGTGTTAACCCTGCCAGATTGGAAAACTACTTTTTTTTCCAATTTTGCATGCCTGGAACTTGATATGTACATGCTGGAATTAAAATGACATCTGCTAGCTTCACCCTCCTGCTGGCGTGTGTCTGAGAGGGCCCTGAAAGAAAGAAGAGCCATGTGGCTGGGTTGGGCTTGGACTCCTGCTCTCCCACGTGGGCCAGGCACGATGATATTCCTCCTGTTAACACAGACAAGGAGCTGAGGTTCAGGAAAGTGGAATTGCTTGCCATAAGGAAGCATATGTTTTAGATTCCTGAGGTGACTCTCAGGAAAAACAGTCGCTGTCAACTCAAGAGAGAGCCCACATCTTGCTGAAAATTTGGATTTGTAGAAATTTTAGCAGAGTCCAGGCAGGACCTCATACGTGTTAGACATGAAGCCATCTACCCTTTCATAATGGATACATTTTCTGTTCCATAGGCAAGTAATTATAGTGGAAATGTGAACTCAGTCCCAACAATGACACTAAGAATAGTAGAATAGAAATGACGTTGGAGATCACGATCCAGTTCAACATCTCCATCTTATAGATGAGAACATTGAGACCCAGGAGACGAATGGTTTTGCCAAGGCCACATAGCAGATCTGTGTTGTCACTTTCTTAAAAAGGGAGTGTGTGTTCACATACACACACAAAAGAGGGAGAGAAAGAACCCTCAGCAGGGTTTCGTCATGCTGCAATCCCCTTGCTCCAGCCCGCCAGCTTCTCAGAATCTTGAGTACCCACGTGCGTGTGCCCAGCATGTTTTCAGGCCAACCTCGGGATCAGGACCCAAGGTCAGCCATGTTGCACCCAGTGCTGCAGTCCATTATGCCACAGACTGAACCACCGGGCAGGGCCAAGTCTGTACCTTTGCTTTAAAAAGAAGCCAGGTCTCCTCCCCCTCTGGATAGTCCTCCTTGCTCTGACTGTTTCAGGCCAACTCCTACTGGACTGTGACGAATGTTCTGAAGCCCTCTGTCAACTCTAACCCCTGGCCGCTGGCCTCAGAAAGCATCCCCACCAGCTTCTCCTGAGGGTTGCTTTGACCCAGCGTCATGGCCTGCAGAGGGTGGAGAGGTCTAGGAAAATAACGCCTCTAAAAATATCCAGAAAAGGCTAAGATGGCAGCATGCATGAAGGAAGTAGGAAGGGCCGGTCCCCGAGGGACTCAGCACTGTCGATGGCTCAGTGAGGCAGCAGGCCTGGCGCTCTGGGTCCTTTCACAGTGTGCCAGCCCAGCACCCTCTGCCTAGGCTCAGGGTGGTCCTTGGCAGATATCAGGATTGGCCAACACCCACTTAGAAAAGGAGAGTCACAGGGGCCAGGCAGTGGTGCAGTGGTGATACAGCTGGACCCATGTGGGAAAGGCCCTGGGTTCATATCCTGGGACCTCCCTGAACACAATGGGTGAATTGCCTGTGATCCAGGTCAGCTGAGAAAGGGGTAACTTGTGACCTGATGATCTCTCTCTCTCTCCTTCTCTCTCTCTCTCCCTCCCTCTCAATAAATAAATAAACTTTAAAATATATACATTTAAAAAAAGAAGAGGGGTCAGTAGGTGCTGTGGTGATTAAGGCGCTAGACTCATGTGGCCGACTGCAGTTTGAGTCCTGGATCTGGCAGCTTGTTTTCTCACTCCCCACCCGCCTCTCTCTTTCTCTCTCTCTCTTTCTCTGTCTGTCTCCCTCTAGTGAGTACATGTGCCCTATAGGAAATGTAATAATAAGAATAATAAATAAATAAAATTCAATAAAAAAGGAAGAAGAGCACAGGCTTTTTATAGGGATGTAGTTACTTTTACAGACGATAGGTGGGCAATTCAGAAGAACATCACTCAGGCCATTTGAGACAGCTATAGGACCCAAGGGATGAGCACAGTTTTGTTTGGTTCTTGGTTTTTTTGTTTTATTTTGTTATAGGGCATGTGCACTCGCCAGAAAGACAGAGACAGAAAGCCAGAAATCACCCCCACGGGGAATGGCCGCAATCCCTTCTCCTCCATTCTCTTCCCAGGATCTTGGGTACGCACACATATGTGCCCGGTGTGAGTTTAAGCCACCAGGTCCGGGACTCGAAACTCTGGTCAATTACATGGGAGTTCAGCAACACAGCCATTACCCGAACTACTGGTCCCGCACAGTTCTAAGCCTCATGACGACCTTGGTCCATTATTCCTGCAGCTGGCTTGCATCTGGCAGGAAAGACATGAACACGTATGCAGCTGCCTCCCCACGCCATGAGGGCACTTGGCACGTAGTGTCCTATTATAGTCCTACAGGATCCTGTGGCCTCCGTATCCCCCTCTGCCCAGCCTTGGAGATGAGCAAACAGAGGCTCCGAGAGGTTAACTGACTTGCTCCGGTGTGACAGCTAGGATGTCGGTGCAGAGGGCTGGCAGCCAGGAGACCTCAAGCACGTCACAGAAACCCAGCTGGGCCTGGGGGAAGGGGCAGTGTGGATGGGCCTTCATGGACGTCTCACCTGGGGTGGATGAAAGCTGGGGTTTCCAGGCCCCTCCTCTGAAGGCCGGGAGCGAGGCCTGGGCGATCACATTTTTAACAAGCACCCAGCTGATTCTTATGATGAAGCAAGCCTGGGAAGCACCAGGCAGAGAAGGGAGAAAAGGGAGTGTTCCGTAGGTAGGTCGCAGACAGGGTTTATTCGAAGGCTCAGCAGGGGGACTGAGTGGAGTGTTTGGAGGGCCATGAGAGGCTGCAGGGTGAGGCAGAAGGGAACAATGTCGGGAGAGGGGAGGGGGTACCCTGGTGGATGAAAGGAGGGCTCCATGGCCTGGTGAAGGTCCAAAAACCTCAGGCTCTAAAAACCAGCTTTCAGTGACCTCAGGGGCCTCCCAGCTCTGTCTGGGTACACTCGTAATTTTGTTTTTTAAAGAATTATTTATTAATTCCATTTGTTATTCTTATTATTTTTAATTTGACCGGAAAGAGACAGGGAGAGAGAAAGAAAGGGAAAGTGAGAAAGCAAACTGCCAGGTCCAGGACTCGAACCACCGTCAGCCATGTGGCAGTCCAGTTCACTTGTAATTTGAGGTGCTTTTTGTGTTTAACAACTCCCAGTTTTGCTCTTGCTGTTCATCTCACAGCAAGAGGCAGTGGGGTGACACGGGACAGGGAAACAGGGGGTGTGAGAGCTAGCCTGCACCCCTTTATTCATAGCCCGTCTGACCTGGGGCAACTAGAGGTGGCGCTCCCCACCCTCCATACACCCACCGGCGTTTGTGATTAAGCAGGAACTGTGTGTGCAAATTCACAGGGTAAGCGGAAAGAAGCCGGGCAGACAGGCCAGGCTGCAGAGTTGGTGGTATTATTAACAAGCCTGGTCGAGCAGGGGAGGGGAAGCGGGAGGGCTGAAAAGCAGGAAACCCCAGATTTTGTAGCCAACCATCTTGGCTTCAGATCCCAGCTCCTCTGTTTATTAACTGTGTGATCCAAGCAAGTTACTTAACCTCTCTGGTCCTCAGCTTGCTCATGAGTAAAATGAAGATTGGGCTCGTCGGATTGTAAAGGCTCGTGGGTAAGTGTGAGCCTGGTTCAGATGCCTTGCCCTACCTCTGTCTCATTCATGCCTCTCACCTCCACTCCTCACTTTCACCTTCCCAGTCCCAGGTAATGACTTCCGTCTGAATGCCTGTGCTTCACCTGGGTGCGCTGTTGGATTTACATCGTGGTCTTGTGGTGTCCTGTTCTGTCTCGTTTCCATTGCTCACTGAGTCCTGAGTTTAACACCCACACAACTGGCTCTCTGGGGACAGCCCACTCTTTGCTTTTAGCTGCAACACGTCACACACCCCCATGTTTGACCAGCCACCTCTCCCGGTGATGAAGCTTTCCTTTTCAGAGGGGAAACAGGCCCAGGCAGTGGGATCTGCCCAAGAGCACTCCTCCTCATTCTTGGGTGGGGAATGTGTGTGCCGCAGGTGTTCTGAGATCACAGAGGCCGAAGCCCGGGATCCAACTCCCTGCAGCAGGCCTGAGCAACCCAGCCTACAGCCCCCTGCTCTGGAAAGCCAGCTGCTGCCCCCAGTGATGGTGCCTTTTCACATAACCTCCAGTGTGCCTTGGCAAAGGCTAGAGGAGCTAGCCCCGCAGGCCGAGACCCTGGAGAATGCCCGCCCCGGCAGGAAGGAGCGCTTCTTCTGGGGACAGCCAACCTTGGGAGTAAGAGGACCATCCCAGTCTCTACAGACCTGCCCTTTCCCAAGCCACGGCCAGTCCCAGCAAGGGCACAGGCAGCAGGGTTCACAGGGCCAAGGGGATATGCCAGGTTTGCCCTGCTCGGCCTGCAGCTCTGAAAAGTAACAGGAGAGGACCAGGTGGCCAGCACGTGTGCATGCTGAGCACACTCAGTGCCTAGCTCCTATCTTCCGGGAGGAGGGTTGGATTAATGCCCGAGACATCCCTAACCCGAGGTCTCTAAGCTTCTACAAGCTTGCGATGCCCAGCTGGTGATGAGGAGGCCTGGTTCTGCCCCTAATTGGTTGGGCAAGCTTGGCAAGGCTCTCGTTCTCTCCAGGCCTTCATGTCCTGAGCTCCCCAGTAGGGAGGTGGATTGGCCCAGCTCAGCCACTGAGGTCCCTGGGAGGTGGAGGCCCTTCCAGGACACCCACAGCTTTAGCTCTCCCACCTCTCTGCCCCCAGGCCCTACAGGTCATCATCAGCTTGCTTCATATCAGCTGTGGGGGTGTTCTGGCTGCTCCCTCCACCTCTGTGGCATTTCCCACCACTTACTGGTACCCACTGGTAGGAGGAATGTTTGTGAGTACCCTGGAAACCTGGCCCAATGGTGGCCCAGAGCTAGGGAGGGCTGCAGGCACCCAGGACTCTGCATCCTCCCTGGGCCCTTTGTGGGAGCTCGGGTCTGTGAAAGGGGAGTGGATTTTCATGGTGAAGAGAGGTTCTGAGCTGAGGGTGCAACTCATGCAGACATCCAAGCAGGAGTCATGGTCCAAGAAGGGAGCCAGGCTGCCAGGGCTAAAGAGCCACAGCTGCTCCCCAACACTCGTTGTCGAGGAAAATGACCCCTCGCCCGAAAAACGATGACTAAGGAAGAAAGTTGAGGCCCTGCGGGGGACGAGGGTGGAGTCTCCCCTAACTTGAGTCAAGAAATGCAGTCGCTGCAATGGAACCAGACCCCCCAAGACTGAGAGTCCAAGACTTATTTCTGTCCTAGGTCTATCACTTAGTAGCCCTGAGACTTAGGCTGCCTCCTCCTTTCAGCCTTGGCTGCTTCATCTTCAAAATAAGAGACTGGTCCTTTCCTTTTCCAAGCATGATCCAGAGCCCAGCAGCTTGGGCATCACCTGGGAGCTTGTTAGAAATGCACGATTCAGGCCCCATCCACCCCCGAGGACTGATCAGTCAGCACGCGAACAAGGGCTGCAGGCCATTTGTCTGCTCAGTCAAGTTTGAGTTCTAGACCAGGCACCTAGGAATCTTTAGCAGTCCCCTTCTAGAATCCTGTCCCACCAAACTAGGCAGAGCCCAGAGGGGAGAACTAGACCCTTCTTTGTTTTCATACCTCCCATTTCTTCATGTTAAGTGAAGTCAGTCATAACTGCTCACAGCAGACCTCCCGAGCTCGAGGGCTTTTCAGGGAGGCAGGTGCCCCTGGGTTTCCTGAGGCCATCCACCCTCCTACCTCTCTATGCAGTTTTTCATTTCAGGAACAGCCACCCTGTTCATCTCGGCCGACTGCACAATTTACCGGGTAAGTTTCTCAGCCCTCACCTCTGCTTCCAGGCACAACTTGTGCTGGAAGACTTTCCACGGAATGGTGGGAAGTGGGGAATGGGCCTCTGTCCTTAAACCTACCTACCATGGGTCTGAGCTCCTGACCACCCTCCACTCCTGTCAGAGCCTCCTGTATCTCACTCAGGTCTGGTGAGTGCTCATTCCTCTCCTTTACCTCAGCTCCTCCATGCCTGGACCTCACCGGGGCCACCAAGTTGCCCCTGACCAGATAGGCTGGGTGGAGACCCAAATGACATTAACCTTGAAGATCCTTGTAGAACTTCCTGGGTCAGAACATTGGAAGGGGATTCGTTCTCTGAGCAGCCCCAGCCAGGGCCATCTGCTTTGAATCTAGAGAGCTGGATTGAGATATTCACTTCCTAGAGCTGCTTTAATTTACCATAAATTGGATCACTTAAAACAAGAGAAACTGGGGACCAGCAGTTGACATAATGGCTATGTCGCTGGACTCCCATGTAGTCAACCGTGGTTTGAGTCCCAGACCCGGTGGCTTAAACTCATGACAGGCATATGTGCATGCATGCCCAAGATCCTGAGAGGAAAATGGAGGAGAAGGGATTGTGGCATGGCCATCCTCCCTGGGGGGTGATTTCTCACTTCCTGTCTCTCTGTCTTTCTGGCGAATGCACGCGCCCTATAGCAAAACACCTCTCAAAAAAAAGAAAAAAGAGAGAGAGAAACTGGGACCAGCAGGTGGTGTGGTGGTTGGGGCACTGGACTCCCACATGGCTGATCATGGTTCAAGTCTTGGACCTGGCAGCTTGCTTTCTCATTTCCTCTCTCTCTGATGACTATAGCAAGTTGAAAAATAATAATAAAATAATTTTTTTAAAGAAAGAAAGTCTACAACTCTGGAAACGAAGACTGGCATCAAAGTGTTGGCAGGACCATGTTGTGTTCTTTTTTTTTTCTTTTTTAAAATTTTTCCAGAGGGCGCATACACTCACTGGAGACAGAGGGAAAACAAGAAAGCACCTCCTGTGGAGACTGGCCATGCTGCAATCCTTTCTCTGTTTCTCCCTCATTTGGGGATTTAGAGCACACACACACCCCTAGTGTTTCTCAAGCCACTGAGTGCAGGACTCAAACCAAACAGTCAGCCAAGTGGGATCCAGCGCCTTAACCACCAGGCCATGAGCTGGCACCGTGTTGTGCTCTCTGAAGGGGCCCTAGAGAAGCTGCCTCTTCCCAGCTTCCTTGGTGTCCCTTGGTGGTCGCTGGCAATCCTTGGTGTCCCTAGGCTTGCAGCTGTGCAGCTCTAAATCTGCCTCCCTGGGCATGTGGCATTCTCCCTGCCTGGCTCTCCTCTTCTCCTGAGGACACTAGTCCTGATCCAGCATGATGCCATCTGAACATGATTGCATCTGCAAAGACCCCTTTTCCACACAGGTCCCATTCACAGGGAGCAGGGCTTCAGACTTGAACATACCTTTTCTTCGGGGGAGGGATACAGTTTAACCCCAAAGAGATGGCAACTGGTTTTTATATTAATGTCAATTCTGGTGGCTTCTGAGGAGTCGCTGACATGGTGTGCCCTGGCCCCAGGGGGAAGAAGGGGCCACCTGTGTGCCATCTCTGCCAGTCACAACAGAGCTGCCTACCGGCTCTCATGGCTGACTTGTGTCTGTGGCCCTTGGGCTCCAGCAGTCAGAGCAGAGAGGTCTTTCTCGCCTCACCGGGTCCTGGGCCCTGGGCGTTGGTACTGCGGGCAGTGATGGGTGCTCTGGTCTCCCCGCAGATGAAGGTCGGCGTAGTGTTGAACCTGGTCAGCTCGCTGTGCGCCAGCCTCGGGGTGTGTGCCTTCGTGGTGGAGCTGGCTGCCAGAGGCAGACACACCCAGGTAAGCGCTTTAGACCCCAAAGGGAGGCCCAAAGGCCCACAGACCCTGCACCCACGCTGCCGTGCACCTGTTAATCCTGGAAACAACCCCCCAGAGATGTCTTCTATCTGAAACGAGGCTGGGGGACAGGACTGAATTGCTTCAGCAGGTAGCGCCAGAGGCAGTGAGGCAGAAGGAGACCACTCGGCCTGTGCTAATACTGACATTAAGAGCGTCTGTGTGGACTAAGACACGGCCACCCAGTACCCCTACAGGGAGCTCGTCCTCCAGTGGAATCTAGGGCCGGGGACATCAGGGAGACTGCCAAGCTGAGGCTGACTGGGACTTCCCAGTGAGTCTCACTTTCCCCTGTGGGGCCGTTGGGGTCAGATCTGTGCAATGACACGTGGGTACATGGTGGGGTTGTACTATGTCCCTAGATGTCCCTGGGACTGTTGGAGAAGGGAAGCCACACAGACTTTCATACTAGGGAAGGAAGAGGAAAGGAGAAAGGCTGCTCTTCAGTTGGGCCTGACATACCACGTAGGTGTGGAGGAGCCGGAAACGCCCTGTCCACTGCTGCTCCCATCCTGACCTGTCAGGCCTCCGCTGCCCCACACTCTCAGCCCTGCCCAGCCCCCAAAAGCAACCTCCTTCCCATGACCTCAAACCTTCCTGGTCTCCTCACAGCCACACGCTGTGCTTTCTGTATGAACGAGGGCAACTGTTCTCCCACTCCCCACGCCCTCTGGCTCCATAAGCTCAAGTCTCCATCTGGAGCGTCTAAGACCCCACATCCTGTCTGACCCGGTGTCCTCTTTCCTTTCACAGCCAAGATCTGCTATCTCGCCTCCTCCTCACCTCCCATCTCTACAGGCCTCAGCCCTCCCAAGGAGGTGCCGAGGGCTTACTGCCACCCACACTGGACAGAGACACTTCCCATGCATTTCCCGCCTTGGCTTTCTGTACCTTCTACTGTTGGAGGTCAGTCCAAGTGGTCAGGCATGTAGGACTTGGAGCTGGATGGCCAATGTCTGAATCCCAGCTCTAGTGACCAGCTGTGTGGCTTTCAGACATGGAATTTAATTTTTCTGAACCTCGGTTTCGTCCTCTGAGGAATGGAGCTAATAGTTGTACCTACCTGGTAAAGGTGACTGGGATTTCAATGAACATGGCCAGCCCCATGGCCTAGCAGTCAAGGGAACCAGATTCCACATGGCAGGCCAAGTTGTTCAAATCCTGGCCCTAGTGTCTTGAAAAACATGCTGGGTGCATGTGCATGCCCTAAATCCCCCACATTTTTTACAGGATGAATAAATGCGGAAGGGATTGTGGCCTGACCACGTCCCCTTGGGGACTGCTTTCTCCCTCTCCTCTCTCTGTCTCGCTCTGGTGAGCACATGTGCCCTCTAGCAAAAATAAATAAAAGTAAATGAGAGTGGGGACCAGCAGTTGGCATAATGGCTATGTTGCTGGACTCCCACGTAGTCGACCTCAGTTTGAGTCCCGGACCCGGTGGCTTAAACTCACGCCAGGTGCGTGTGTATGCGTGCCTAAGATCCTGAGAAACGAATGGAGGAGAAGGAATTGCAGCATGGCCATCCCCCCCTGTGGGGTGATTTCTCACTTTCTGTCTCTCTGTCTTTTTGCCGAGTGTATGCGCCCTCTAGCAAAAACCTCTCAAAAAAAAAAAAAAAAAAAAAAAAAGTAAATGAGTGTATAGCAGGTGTGCTGTAGAGGACTGATCACTCACCCCTCCGTGAAAGCGTCCTGCCCCTTACCCAGCTTCTTCTAGGACAGAGTCTGCTGACTCACTCCAGCACTGGGGGACCCCTCCCCCTCCACATGGGGTGCAGACAAGAACTTCTTGCTGCTGGTTTTCCAGGTGCCCCAAAAGAGTCTCTCCAGAGTGCTGTTGTTCTTCACCATCCTGGAGCTGGTCATCGCTTCCTCATCCACCTTCCTGGGCCTCTATGCCACTTCCTATTCTGTAAGTGCATTGGGGTTTCTACAGGATTGGCACACCCTTGCTCTATCTCCAGGGCCTGGATGGGTATGCAACAAGAGGAAAGGCAACATGAGAGGTGGGGTAGGAGGCAGAAGCCTGCCCTCCTGCACAGTGGCCATGGGGAGCCCTGCCTGATCTGCACTGGGGGGGGAGAGGGCCCATGCGGTGGCTGTGCTGAGCCCCACTTGATCTACTTCGGGGTGATGCTGCTCTAAGAACCATGTGAGGACTGGTGGGGGTGGGGGAAGGTGTTTACAGAAGCTTAGCACTTGGCTCAGTGTAAACCCAACTGGGGACAGTGGTCATGTGGCCAGGCTGGACTTGGAAGAAGCAGCAGATGCTTCAACAAGTGCAGAGCCACGAGGTCCCTGAGTCCTGGCTAAGGCCTGCTTGAAGCCTTCAGCCTCACGGGGGCAGGTAGGGGATGTCTGCAGCAGCTCACTTCACAAGGGGCTTCCACTAGCTCATGCCCCTGACCCTCATGACAAACCTGAGGCAGGGGAAAGGAAGGGGTTGCAACCCTCTTTCATGTCACAGGTGAGAAAATGGAGGCCGAGTGAACAGAAGGAACCTGGCCAAGTTCACAGCAGGCCCCAGAATCAGGTATGTCTCTTGGCCAACCTTCTCCCAAGAAGAGTATGGCTACAGGAAGGATCCAACCCAAAGTCCAGGGTCTGGGGGCTCGGGCCACCGCTGCTGGTCTGCAGAGGGGTGCAGGCAGAGGGGAGCCCAGGAAAATAGGGAGCAGGAACTCCTGAAAGGACCAGAGGATCACATGGGCTTCTGGGCCAACTGAAGGCACATGGCCTGGCTCTTCTTCCCCTCCTCACTGTAGTACCTGAGCCCAGAGGAGTTTGAGCACATGGCTACAGCGGCTGCCCCTGAGAACTCAGCCTAGCAGCTGCAGCAGCCCCCAGCCACTGTCTGAGCCCAAGGCACCTGCTGCCCTGAGAGAACAGCATCTGGTCCCTCCGAGACTCTGCTGTCCCCCTGCTCCTACCCCCCTTCATCACACTAGATCGCTGTCCCCACTCCCTCTCACCCTGCCCCCCCACATGCATGCACACACCCCAGCAGGGACAGGGGCCTGCTCTGTGTGTTGAGAGTCACCTTCAGTGGTGCTATTTTGCTATTAATAAACGGTTGGCATTTGGCTTGGGTTGTATATGTCTAGATTAAGGGATCGTCTGTGCGCGCGCATGGCCAGGGAGCCTGGGCCTATCAAGGCCACAAATGTGGATAGACAAACAGGCACCTACACCTCACTAAATGACTTGAATCAGCTCCTGAAAACCCTGCTTTAAGAGAAAACTGGTCAAATGAAAATATTTTGTTAACCTGAATGGGAAACATTTGGTGCATTCCATTCACCCAACCTGAGGTACCCAAGAAAAATGTTCACGGGGCCAGCAAGTGGCATGGTGGTTATGACACTGGATTCCCACATGGCCACAGTCCAAGTCCTAGACCCAGCGGCTTGAAAATCATACCAGGCACGTGTACTTGTGTGCGCAAAAATCCCAAGAGGAGAATGGAGGAGAAGGAACTGCAGCACAGTCCCCTCCCCCTTCTGTACCATGAAAACTGAAAAGTAATTCCTTTCACAGCATCAAGAGAATTACATAATAGTTGCTGAAAGAATAAAATGTACACATAACTGAAAGAATAAACCAAGGGGGGACCAGCAGATAGCATAGTGGTTCCATCACTGGACTCCCACATGGCCAACTGTGGTTCAAGTCCCTGATCTGGCGACTTGAGAATCATGCTAGGCACATGTGTGTGTGCGTGTGTGCCCAACATCCCAGGAGAACAATGGAGGAGAAGGGATTGCAGCATGGCCATCCCCCCGGGGGCTAATTTCTTACTTTCCTCTCACTGTCTGTCTGTCTCTGTCTGTCTATCTCTCTCTGGCAAGTGTATGTGCCCTAAGGCAAAAACCTTTTAAAAAATAAAATAAAAATAAACCAAGGGGGGAAAAGTGAAATTATTCTGTAATCTTCAAGGACCTGCATCAGTAAATGGCCAAGTGCGGTTGTAAGTACATTGTGGTGACATGAGTAGACGTCATTAAACCCACACACACGTGCTGTTAGTCTGGCCTTCCCTAGTTCACTACCCACTGTATGTGCCCAGTGGGGATGGAGGGGAGAAACAGACTTTGCTCCCAACCAGTGGTTTACAAATGTGAACATGCCTTAGAATCACCTGGAAGACTTGTGAAAACTTAGATTGCAGGGGCAATATTTGGCATGGTGGTTAAGGTGGCCGACTACAGTTCAAGTCCCAGACCCAGAGGCTTGAAAAGCACACTGGGCACATGTGCATGCGTGCTCAAAATCCCAGGAGGAGAATGGAGGAGAAGGGATTGTGGTGTGGCCATCCCCCCAGGGGGTGATTTCTCACTTTCCTTCTCTCTCTCTCTCTCTCTCTCTCTCTCTCTCTCTCTCTCTCTCTCTCTTTCGCCAGCATACATGCCCTATGGCAAAAAAAAATCTTTTAAAATTCCTGACTGCAAGGTCCCACCCCTGGAGCATCTGCTCAGTAGGACTTGGTGGGGCCTAAAAATGTGCATTTCTAATACATCCCCAGGTGAGGCCAGCACCACTGGGACCAGACCTGAAGACACACCACTTTAAATCAGTAAGTAGCAATGGAGTGTCTGTTAGAGTCCAAGGACTGTGCTTTACGTGAATTATCTCTTGTAATACGACCCTGTGCCATTGGCAATGATACCACTGCATCCCACAGAGAAGCAAACCGAGGCGCAGGTGGATGATGGAAGTTAGCCAAGGACGTGGCCACCTCTGTGGGGAAGGTGTAAGTGCAAGTCGGGGGGTTCCCGTTGCAGGCCGCAGGCACATAGTTTTTGCACAAAACCAGCTGATAGAGGACAGGTACTAAATCTCCCTGTGACTTTAGGAATGACTGGGGATACAACGTCCCAGGGATCTTCCCTCTTCCATTCTTGGGATCTTTTTGCACTGGTCCTGCAGGGCAGCATCCACAAGAGGAGGCAGAGGGACCCATCTCTGTTGGCACCTGTGCAAACACACCAGGGTATTTACTCGGGAAAAGCCTTTCCAAGACATTTGCCTTTGGGGAGAGAGCAACAAGGGCCCTGGGCCGGGCAGATAAGAGAAGACTTGTTATTGCCATTTTCTGCAGTGCTGTCCCTTCCTCCCCATGTTATTGCCATTTTCTGCAGTGCTGTCCCTTACTCCCCCCCCCACTCCATCCCCACTACCAGGGAAAGCCACAGCCATCCCACCCGCTCCCCAGTCCCAAAGGGTCCTGCATGACGGTGTGTCATGGCCCAGAAGAGACAGTGGTTCCTCCGTTCACTCATCAACCCACCTACTTTGTGCCCAGCCCGAGACACTAGACACAGGGTGTGCAGAGATTCAGGGCCTGCCCTCGTCACGTTGTTACTGAGCACCAGTGGCTGGTGAAGTGTGTTTGAAACGAAGCAACTGTTAAAACGAACTCTTATTCAGAAATTCAAACTATGAAGCAGGTGAAGTGGGAGTGCTCTCCCCTGCTAAGAGAAGTGGCGGTCAGAACTCCGACGTGCCCACCAGGGTTGCTACACATGGCTGCACAAGCTGTGGACTGCGCAACTTCAGGCGGCATCACGTTCATAGACAGACCATGCAAATGCTGTCCCCTGGAGTTGAACCATGGGCCTCCCTCGTTCTACCCCAAACCCTGCCCTCAAGAGCCCCCTAGGCAAATCTGAACCACTGGTGACACTGCAGAAAACTCCCCAGAAAGTACGTGTGGCTTGGGGCAGGATGGGAGGGTGAAAATTAGCAAGAGTGTGGAGGCTGTGCTCTGGTGACAGAGCAGGGATGGCAGGGCCCAAAAGGAGCCAGGCCTCAGTTCCTCAGGGGACCTTCTGCATTCCACCTCTGGGGCCTCACAGGTCCCAAATATATACCTCTTTTCATACAAAGCCAAGCATATCCGACTGGAGTCACCGTGGGAAAATAAAATGAATAACAGCAACAACAGTTCAACTTCGCTGAGCATTTACGGGCCCGGCACAGTGCCAAGGACATTTTGCCATTTAATCGCCATGACAACCCTGTAACATACTGGGGTTTTTTTTCCCCCATTTTACCCTTGCAGAAAATAAGAGTAAGTGCTTTTCCCAAGGACTCCTGTTAAGTGATCATTGAGCTTGAATTCACACCTGGTTGCCCCAAAGGCCGTCAGAGCCCTTCCCTTCCGGATGCGTTTCCTTTCTTACGTGTGTAAACAGAGGGCATCGGCTAAGGTGGCGATGGTGAGGCTCATCACAGCCGTTTATGATGCCATTCTGCGTACCTGGGAGACCGAGTTCAACCGCCACCTCTCATCCTGAATGAGACTGTGGGGGTCACATGGACGAGAAAACTGAGAGAGCATGACATGACGGCTAAGGCAAACTCAGGGGCCAGCTGTCTGGATTCGACTCGCAGCTCTCGCCTTCCCTGGCTGTGTGATCTCGAGCAAGGTCCTTAATCTCGCTGGACCTCCATTCCCTCATATGTAAAATGGAGTTAATGATACTACCTGCCTTGCAAGGGTTATGTAAAGACTACATGAGTTAATATATGTAAAAAAACTGCTTTAGAATAGTGATTTCTCCTAGGGACCAGCAAATGACATCATGTTACGTCGCTGGACTCCCATGTAGTCAACCGCACCTTGAGTCTCAGACCCGGTAGCTTAAAACTCATGTCAGGAGCGTGTGCGTACATGCCCAAAATCCCAAGGGGAGAATAGAAGAGAAGGGATTATGGTATGGCCATCCCCCCTGGGGGGGGTGATTTCTCACTTTCTGTCTCTGTCTCTTTCTGTCTCTCTGGCGAGCACATGTACCCTATAGCAAAAATCTCTCAAAAAGAAAAAGAAAGAAAGAAAGAAAAGAAAACAACAATGATTGCTTCTAGAAGGTATTTGAACAGTACTACCTTTTGATCGAGAAGGTGGCATGGAGGTTGAGGCAGCTAGATTCCTCATGGCCATCTGCACAGTTCAAGTCCCAGACCCAGTGACTTGAAAATCACACCAGAAGCATGTGTATGGGTGTCCCAAATCCTCAGAGTTAAATGGAGAAGACTGTGGCAAGGCCGTCCCCCTGGGGGCGGGGTGGTGGTGTGATTTCTCACTTTCTCTCTGTCTCTCTTTGGTGAGCCCGTGTGCCCTATAGCAAAAACTAAAAGAAAAATAAAAACTGCTACCTTTTTAAGTACCTTCCCCAAGACTTCACATTAGTAAATAGTATGTCCCTAATTCAGATGGAAATCACGTGACCCAGATGCTTGCCCTGGAGGAGGAAGTGTACTATTGATCCTTGATGGACATTCGGGGAACTGGTACAACCTCCATCACATGACAGCGAGCGCAGACCATGCATCCCAGTAGCTGGGAGGCGCTGAATCAGAGTGGCTGTGTGACCCTGGCGTCAAACTCGCTTGCACCTGTTGTCCCGGCGTCCCATGTTGACAGAAGCTGCTTGTGGGTAATACATTATATGATCACTATAGACCCTGGGAAAGTCACTCTCTGCAGAAGGCAGCCCCAGAGAACTCAGATGAGAGGCCACAAGGGGGCGGTGTGGCACCAGGCAATGAACTTCGGCACCTGCCCTGGGCCAGCAGAAGTCATAAGGCCCCTGGCCAGGTGGGCACCAGTCTCAGATAATTAGGAGCACCTGCTGAGGCTGCTGGTCCCAGGGGGGTGGCTCTGAGCAAGGCTGCACCCAGCAAGATGTTGATTTTTTAGGATGGAATAGAATTGATCGAGGAGGGAACAGACAGGGAAACCATGGGGCAGAGACACCAAGCTTGTGGTTTCTCGGGCACCCACTGACACCCACTCCTCTAGTGTGGTCACCCTGAGCTCTCCTCACTCCAGGCATTAATTGTGGCCTTTGGGACATTTACAAAGTATTCCACGTGGATGATTAGTCTTATCTCACCAACAGGACACCATGCCTGGCACACGTCCTGCCTGGGAAGCAGATCAGAAACACTTGGGTTTCTTGCCAGAGACAGCCTTAACTTTTGGTACCCTTCCAAACGGAGTATGTGTCTCATATTAACTAAGTGAGGATGGAAAGAAATCATCCTCCTGTTAATAAAAATTGCAATCCTCTTTGTTCATGTTTAAAGCAGAGATGCCTGCAGGGTCTTGAAAAAGTTCATCAAAATGGAATTGGTGTATGAGTTTATTTGCGAGCAAACATTTTAGAATCCATACATAGTTCTTTTCATTATGGGTTTTTTTAGAGGTTTTTTGCTATAGGGCACATGTGCTCGCCAGAAAAAAAGAGAGAGAAAAAGTAAGAAATCACCCCCCAGGGGGGATGGCCACGCCGCAATCCCTTCTCCTCCATTCTCCTCTCAGGATCTTGGGCACGCACGCACATGTGCCCGGTGTGAGTTTAAGTCACCAGGTCCAGACTCAAACCGTGGTCAACTATATGGGAGTTCAGCAACATAGCCTTTATGCCAACTGCTGGTCCCATTTCAGTTCACTTTTTATGAACTTTTGTTTTAAGGGTTTATTTTTTTAAAGATTCTTTTAAAAATTATTTATTTAATTCCATTTGTTGTTGTTGTTGTTGTTATTATTATTATTATTATTATTATTATTTAATTTGACCAGACAGAGACAGTGAGAGAGAGAGAAAGAGAAAGTGAGAGACCAAGCCAACAGGTCTGAGAGTCAAACTGTGGTAGGGCATATGGGAATCCAGAACCTTTAACCACCATGCCACCTGCCAGCCCGTTTTAAGGTTTATTAATTTCTTCCTTGAGAAAGGCAAAGGAACACCCATAAAGGGGTTTTAATGCCACGATCCACCCCTAGTCTTAGACAGCCCAAATCAGAGTCACATATACACCCAGTATGCTCGAGGAGGCCTTGGGACTCAAACCCAGGGCTTTTCCCATGTGGATCCAGGCACATTACCACAACCAGCCTGCCACCCCCCATTTTTCATAAAAAGTTTATTTATTTTATGAGCGAGATCTTTTTTTTATTATTATTATTTCTTTTTTCTTTCTTTCCTTTTTTTTTTTTTGGAGAGGTTTTTGCTATAGGGTGCATGCGCTCGCCAGACAGACAGAGACAGAGAGACAGAAAGCGAGAAATCACCCCCCAGGGGGGATGGCCATGCCGCAATCCCTTCTCCTCCATTCTCCTCTCGGGATCTTGGGCATGCACGCACACGCACCTGGCGTGAGTTTAAGCCGCCGGGTCTGGGACTCAAACCGCGGTTGACTACATGGGAGTCCAGTGACATAGCCATTACGCTAACTGCTACTCCCCATGCCAACAAGATCTTGAGATGCTGTGACATACCCCCTGCCTCAGCCAGCCCGAATCATGGGCAAGCTTGCCCTCCACATGCTCAGGTGGTCTCCAGAATTACGCTGGGAAGGGTAAGGGATCGCCTGGCGGAGCACTGACTTTTACCACCACACCACTGTCCAGCCCCCAGCCCACAGTTCATGAATTTTCTGAAAACCTTTTACAGTTCACGCACCAGGAAACTGTAAGTAATTTGGAACTGGCCTTCCTCTCCAGTTCCCTTGTAACTCACCAGACTGCATGGTTTACTGAGCCTCCTTCACTTATAAACAACAGACATCACTAACTGTGGAAGCAGTAAGTCTTATTCTAAATATATATTCATATTTTTATACTAGCTCCATATAAATATATATACCTACGACCTGTTTCCAGGTGTTTGTGGTTTACTTTTCTGAAGTCGTGATTTTCTCAGTATGGTTCTTGTTTGTTTTTAGTTTTAGTTTTCATTTTTGCTATAGGGTACATGTGCTCACTGGAGAGACAGAGAGAGAAAGTGAGAAATCACCCCCACACACACCAGACGGGATAGCCACGCCACAATGCCTTTTCCTCCAGTCTCTTCTTAGGATTTTGGACACACACGCAGCGTGATTTTCAAGTCGCCAAGTCTGGGACCTGATCTACATAGTTGGCCATATGAGATCTAGTCACCTTAACCTCCATGCCACCTGCTGGCCCCCGCGGTAGTTTTCTTTTGGCATCAGATAACTTTTCAGAAGAAACTTTGCACGCGTGAGGTAGCTTCTCGATAAACCATCATTTTTGTTGTTGTTGTTGGGGGTTTTTTTTTTGTTTGTTTTTTTGGTGTTTTTTTGTTTTGTTTTGTTTTGTTTTTGTTTTTGTTTTTTGCTATAGAGTGCATACACACGCCAGAAAGACAGAGAGACAGAAAGCGAGAAATCACCCCCCAGGGCAGATGGCCACGCCACAATCCCTTGTCCTCCATTCTCCTCTTGGGATCTTGGGCACACATGCACATGTGCCCATCGTGAGTTTAAGCCTCCTGGTCGGAACTTGACTACATGGGAGTCCAGCGACATAGCTATTACGCTAACTGCTGGTCCCGATAAACCATCTTCTCACTTTTTTTTTTTTTGGTTTTGGCCATAAGGTGCATGTGCTCACCAGAAGAAGACAGTGAGAGGAAAGATGAGGAATCACTCCCTGGAGGAATGGCTACACTGCAATCCCCTCTCCTCCATTCTCCTCCTGGTATCTTGGACACACACGCACATGTCATTTTCAAGCCACTGGTTTTATTTTCAAGCCGCCATGTCTGGGACTCAAAAGGCAGGTGGCTATGTAGGAGTCCAACACCTTAACCACCATGCCACCTGCTAGCCCTTAAACCATCTTTGCAAATGCATTACTTGGTTTCAGGATCCGGGCTACCAGCAAGGCCCACTCCAGAGGCTGCCTGTGCCCTGGTCTAGGACCGGGCAGGCCGGTGAAAGCAGCAGTTTAACAAGCATACAAATACAGGCTCAGTGGCAGGCCAGGAGGTAGGGTGGGATGGTGGGTTTTGTTTGTTTCTAGTTAAGGCTATTATCTATTTCCATAAAAGAAACACTAATTTCCTTTTCACCAGCTCTGTGAAAACTTGCAGGCAGAAACCCTGGTTAACAGACAGCAGATTTCTGGTGACTCTGTGTGTCAGTATTCCTCTGAGTCAGTATCTCAGAAAGCTGCCCACCTGAGCCCTTCAATCTGCCTCCACCTGCCTTCTCCAGGAAGTCCTCCTCGACACTCTCTCTCAGCTTTGAAACTCTATTGGTTTCACCACTGGGTCTATTTGCTTTCCTAGACCGGCTGTATCACAGACGTCAGTCTTACCTTTCCTGCTGGCTGATGTTAAAACCTTTTGGGGAGGGACCGGCAGGTGGTGTGGTGATTGAGAGTGCTGGACTCCCACGTGGCTGACCGCAGTTCAAGTACCGGACCTGGTGGCTTGCTTTCTCACTTTCTCTTTCTCACTCTGTCCCTCTCTGGTCAAATGAAAAATAAATAAATAAAGTTAAATAAAGTAATTCTTATTTATTTATTTATTTATTTATTTATTTTTTTTTGGAGAGGTTTTTCGGTATAGGGTGCGTGCACTAGCCAGACAGAAAGAGAGAGGCAGAGACAGAAAGCGAGAAATCACCCCCCAGGGGGGATGGTCATGCCGCAATTCCTTCTCCTCCATTCTTCTCTCGGGATCTTGGGCATGCACGCACATGCACCCGGCGTGAGTTTTAAGCCACCGGATCCAGGACACGAACTGCGGTCAACTACATGGGAGTCCAGCGACATAGCCATTATGCTAACTGCTGGTTCCCAGTAATTCTTTTTTAAAAAATCCTTTTGGAGAGTGTCCAGGACACAACCCCTTGAACAAACTCCTCTGTAGAGACCTGACACTCGTCATACCCTGAATATTTTTTTTAAATAATTATGTATTTATTTCACATCTGGAAGCATATTCACTCCTGGCTGGCAGATGGTATGGGTTGTCAGCCAGGACCTCAGCTGAGCTGTCTGCTGAAACTCCATCGCTGACCTCTCCACATGGTCTCTCTCCACCTGGGTTGACTTGAACTTCCTCACAACATGGCAGCTGCATTCTGAGAGCCAGCATCCTGTGAGAGCCAAGGGGAAGCATAGACGTGCTTACAATCCAGCCTCAGGAGGCACATAGCAACAGTTCTGCCAGTGTGTTGGCCAACCATCACAGAGCTCCGCCCAGGTGCGAAGTATGTGCGAAGGGGTAGGGGGAGCACACCGACCTGACTACTCGAGGGAAGTGTGTCCAGGTCTCATGGAAGAAAAGCACATGGATGGATGAGAGACACCATCAAAGCCAACTTTGGGAAGCGCCATCTCTTATACTTCCTGTGTCTCATTTCCAAAAAAGTGAGGTATCTAGATCTACCCAGAATCATCTTGAAAGCTGTGAGCTAAAACCACTCGAGCAGAAGGTGATAATATCTAAGTGTTGTATAATCTTTTATTTTGAGCACAAAATTTAAAAAGCGGAATAACCCTCCCATTGATCAGCCTCTGTGCTGCACAAAAGGCATTCTGAACCATCTGAAATTTCTGGCTTCTTTTCGAAGAATAGAAAAATAAGGGGAAGACGGGACTTATCCTTGATTTAGATCAAGCACCTAAAACACCTAGGTGTGAGGGAAATCGCACATGTTCCAATGCAGAGAGTCCTGGAGTCAAACCCTCACTGTACCTTTAACCCACACCCGCCCCTGGGCAAGTTCGTCCTCCTCGGAAAACCAGGGAAGGGGTATTAACTTCCTCCTGAGGACTACATGAGCTCTGCCTGCAAAAGCCCTCTATATATGGTAGCTACAAATAGGACATCATTTAAACTACCAACGGACTTGGCATGTATTTGTGGGTATTTTTTAATTCACAGAATAAATGTGCTCTCATTAATATTGCCCACCGTTTCTACCTATATGCAGTCTCTTTATTTTACTAGAAATGGGAATCACCTTTTGAAGAGAAAAACTCACCATTCTGCATTTAGCTGTATTCATAAATTGCATTTCTGTATTTTTTGCTTTATCATTAAAAAATTCACATAATAAAGTGTTGTGATGTAAAATCTATATAAAAATCTATATTTTATATCACAACATATATATACACATAAACACACACATACACACACACACACATACATATATATATATCCTACTGTATTTGCGTCCCCCAGAGTTACCATAAATGATATGCTTTTCAATCTGTATGACTATGAGTTGTTCTTTTCAGGAAAATTATTTATTTGTTTCCGTAACAGTGGTTTGGTAGAGCAAGCCATGGCATCTGAGATCCAGAAGAATGAGCCTTGCAGATCCAGTAGATTCTAGGGCAGTTGCTCTGTGCGCCTGCAGGGGTGTGGCTCTGTGAGAAGAATAGAGAAGTGAGACTGACTGTTCAGGAGAAGGGTCTCTCACCAACTTGGTGTCGATGAAGCCCATAGTCAGATGCGGGACTGGTTTTAGTCCACCTCTAGAGCGTCAGTGGGTAAAGAAAGTTGGTATTTCCCCCATTGCAATGTGAACAGATTCCCACCATTAAGCCAGTAGCCATGTTGGTCTGCGTTCCAGGGAAGGGCCTCGTAACTTGCTCCTGGTACGCTCCTCCTAGGGCACCAAGGTTCGTCTGCAGGGGTTGCTAAGAAGGTGTGGCCACCATATTGACTGGAAGCAATGGCCATCACTGAAGTAGATATTATTCTGTGGAAGGCCAGCGCAGCAGAGAAGCCAAATGTTAGAGGAAATGAGAGACTAGGGATAGGTAGTCAGAGGGGAAGGGAGGGAGGTGACTCACTTTGAAACTCCGTAATTATCCAGGTTTTAGGAACTGAGAGTCCATGTGTGTGGGCATGTGGGTACGTTCGCCTGTCTGTCTATGTCTGTCAAGCTCTTCTTCCATACACAAGGATGACGTCCCCAGCTGTCACCCACCAGCAATATGTGTGTAGGGTCTGTAGTTCTCCCATCCAAATCTAACCCCATGAAGCTGAGGTGGCTCACAGTCAGGGGATGAGGGCCAGATTTCAAGCTGAGCTCAAGCCCTGCCATTCAACATTCGGGTAAATCTCAGCAAGTCAGGTAACCTCTCTGAAATGCTATTTCCTCATCTATAAAACAGAAAACCATTCCCGAACTCAGCTTTCCTCAAGGGATAGATTACAGATTCAAGTACTTGATATGTGTGTCCCCAAGGTGATGGATGACCCATGGCAGGGGTTGGGAGAGTCAACCCAAGGGGCGTGAGTGAGCTCTGGACACCATGCTCCGGAATGGTTAGAGACCTGGTGTCCTGCCCAAAGATTTATCATGTGGTCATGGGAAGGGCAGTTGGAGGGACAGATGTTTGACCTGAGTAAAAGGCAATTCTGGAAAAGCTGCAGGAAAGCTGCTACCTCTAGTGCCTGTCATCAGCCCTTAACAATTACTTTGTGAACAAATAAACAGGGGGACGATGGTGACCCAGGCCTGCCCCGTGTGGAGGAGGGAATTCCCCATGCATTGTTCATCCCTTCCTGTAGGAACTGAGGAAGTCCCCACCGTGTGGGCCATGGGACCAGCTGTAGCAGTCTCTGGGAACGTCTTAGAAATGCAAATTCATGAGCCGGCCTTGAACCTACTGAAACATACCTTCTGGGTCCGAGGCCTCGGAGTCTGTTTTGACACTCCCACATAATACGGCTCTGATGTTGACTGAAGTTTGAGAAATGCTGCCGTAACAGAGGGATGTGGTATGAGATGCTGTGCCCCCTGCTTGGTGGATCTAGCACCCCCACCCCTTCCCTGGCCTGCTTGGGGCAGGAGAACATGCTGTGGGGCTGGCGAAGAGGTCTTGTCTTCCCCCTCCTTTCTGGGGTAGCAGGTCTTTTCTCTTCCTGTTTGGGTAAAACCTGCAGATGCCGTGAGAGGGTCAGGAGATAAGCATTGCTCTCCTACACCCTGAGCAGTGGCAGGTACACGGGGAATCTGCAAAGAGGACCCTTCCCATCCTGGCAGCTTCTCTGCACCCTGGCCACATCCTGTGGGGACCACTGGGAGACCTCACACCCAGGGTCCCAAGTGCCAGTCTCATCCTTCTCCCCCATCTCTCTGCTGAACTCTCTTCTCCTTCCTCTCAGAACCTGAAACTCAGACTGAGCTGCTGGGAACACACAGCAAAGATGAACCGCCAAGATAAGTGCTCACCATAAGAACTGATACGATAACCCTCGTCCTGCGCCACTTTCTCATAGCTCTCCGCTGTTCATGCATGCTAAAGAGGAAGGAGAGCAGGTATTGAAGGAGAGCAGGGTTCTCAGAGGTCCAGCCAATACAGCAGGGACAGAGGAAAAATGCTGCACTATCCAAAAAGGTCAATGGCTCACATCCCAGGTCC